TAAAAAACGGTGATGGTTGTGGTGGGGGTGGCAATGACTGTGGTAACGGTGGTGGCAACAGCGACTGTCGTGAAGTGGTGATGGTGGCAGGGGCGACAATAGCGGCAGCGGTGATAGTGGGGGTGGCGATGACAACAATGGTGGTGGTGGTTGCGGTGGTGGCGGCAACGGTGGTGGTGGTGTTGGCAGTGGCGATGGCGGTGATGGTGGTGGTAGTGATGACAACGACAGCAACAGTGACGACGATAGTGACGACGGTGGTGGTGGTAAAGGTAGTAGTGAGATGGTTTTAAACACAATTTTTTTTAATGTATTTATGAGAAATAATTTATACAAGTATTTTTAAAAAGTTACTTCAAAAACACTTTTAGGAGTTTATTTTTTTCATTAAATTTAAAGTGTTAATATTAGTCGTTAGATTAANTCTCCCCTCCTTCTCCCTCCCTCCTCCCTCTACCTACCCCTTGAATTTTGTAACCAAGCAAAATATCAATGGCGTTTTCCATCATTTTTGAAATTAAGATGACATAATAAAGTACGATCCAATAAATTTGATTTACGATCTATTATAAGATGATATCGACACGAAAAATACCCAACTCCATTGGCACTATGTCCCTTTCTTACCTGTATCTGTCCTACATTACAAGTAGCTCAACTACTANATATAAGAGATAAAAAAATTTAAGCATCGACTTGTACTAAGGGTGAGATGTGGTGGGCGACAGTGGTGGTGATAAAAAACGGTGATGGTTGTGGTGGGGGTGGCAATGACTGTGGTAACGGTGGTGGCAACAGCGACTGTCGTGAAGTGGTGATGGTGGCAGGGGCGACAATAGCGGCAGCGGTGATAGTGGGGGTGGCGATGACAACAATGGTGGTGGTGGTTGCGGTGGTGGCGGCAACGGTGGTGGTGGTGTTGGCAGTGGCGATGGCGGTGATGGTGGTGGTAGTGATGACAACGACAGCAACAGTGACGACGATAGTGACGACGGTGGTGGTGGTAAAGGTAGTAGTGAGATGGTTTTAAACACAATTTTTTTTAATGTATTTATGAGAAATAATTTATACAAGTATTTTTAAAAAGTTACTTCAAAAACACTTTTAGGAGTTTATTTTTTTCATTAAATTTAAAGTGTTAATATTAGTCGTTAGATTAACTTTAAAGTAAAATTTAAAGCGATCTCAGCCGCGAATAGCAAAAGTCATTTTGTTTACCTTTTGAGATTTGAATTGTAAGCAACTTTATTATATAAATGAGAATTGATTTATCTTTANATTATAAGATGATATCGACACGAAAAATACCCAACTCCATTGGCACTATGTCCCTTTCTTACCTGTATCTGTCCTACATTACAAGTAGCTCAACTACTAATTCCTCTACTTACAAAATAAATATGAACAAGTGATAAAAGTTTTAAAAAAAAAACATCGCTTCTTCTTCTTCCTCAATTTACAAAATCAACATCAACCAACCACGATTGAAATCTTCTAGATTGTCTTTTCACTTGATTTTATCTGATCGTAGATTATCTACCATACATTCAAATAAGACTCTTTATTTATAAGTGAATTTTTTACCAATTCACGATGTGTGATTTACTATAGAGAGAAAGTATAATGAGAGTAAGTCAGTCTGTCAATAGATTGGATTCTGATTCAAATTTAAATCTGATTAACTTGATATAAATTAATATTTTTCACTTATAATTCAAACTTGAATTCGATATTTTATATTTCACAGATTCATATTTGGATATACATATATTTGATCCGATCTAAATTATTTATATTATAAAAAAAATAAGTGATTATTTAAAGAAATTTATTTGAAATTTAGGTATAATTTATTAAAACTTAGTTAATTAAGTTATTCAGATCAGATCAAATTTTCAAACTGTTAACAAATTTGGATATGGATCATAAAAGTAAAATTTTCTTCAAATTATCGAATCGAATTCAAATTGAACTTTTGAAATCAGATTCGAATTTGAATAAATCAAAATTTAATTCAAACCCAATTCGTTGATAGGCCTAAACGACAAGTGTTAATACAAAGGTAACATGTAGATTAATTTATTTCACCCAATAAGTAAAATTAACACATCCACAATTACGCGTAAAACCCTATTAAAGAACGAATCCAAAACATCTCAAATATCTTTTTTTTGAAATTTGTTTTTCAATATTAAATCATTTACTATTAATTGGATTAAAATCTATTAATTCGAAGTGGGTCCATAATGATTTATGATTGATGGTCGAACATTAAAAGAAATTAAAGAGGTGTATCACAAAAATCCAAACCCTCAAAAAAAAAAAAAAATTCTTTGGAAGTTATGAATGACAGGGATTTCTGCAAGTTTTCCAGCTACAACATTAATGGGGGGCCATATACAAAACTTTCCTAAAACATCAGTTTTAATTACATTTTGACCAAAATAAATTAAAAATCAATCAGAAATCAAGACAAATCGGACACTACGGTGAGACATGAAAAAATCCGATCTCATTCCGACCTCGATATGTGGAATCGTTTTGCGCCATATGTACTATGATTCTTTGGGAGACATGGTCTTAGTCCGGTGAACAAATTACGATTTCAAAGATTCTGCTCGTGAGCTTAATGGTATAAACCTATTTGACTGTGCTATAACATAAATCAATAGGTGCTCCCCTTTAATTGAATTGAAAATTAAAGAAGAAATCCATTTAAATCATTAGTCTTTTGGTATAAAATAGACGTCTTCGGACGTTGCCAATATCATTTTGTTTTTAATGTTTTCTCAACAATCGATTATTCATCATAAATTTAAGGGGATTCAGAATGTATAAATAGATTTTTTATTAATAAACTAGTTATTGTTTGTATTTGAAGGCACAAGGTAATAAAAAATGATAAATAATAAATATATTTATTTTTATATTCAAAATCAAATCACAAACACATATAAGAGATAAAAAAATTTAAGCATCGGCTTGTACTGAGGGTGAGATGTGGTGGACGACAGTGGTGGCGATAAAAAACGGTGATGGTTGTGGTGGGGGTGGCAATGACTGTGGTAACGGTGGTGGCAACAGCGACTGTTGTGAAGTGGTGGTGGTGGCAGGGGCGACAGTAGCGGCAACGGTGATAGTGGGGGTGGCGATGACAACAATGGTGGTGGTGGTTGCGATGGTGGCGGCAACGGTGGTGGTGGTGTTGGCAGTGGCGGTGGCGGTGATGGTGGTGGTAGTGATGACAACGACAGCAACAGTGACGACGGTGGTGGTGGTAAAGGTAGTAGTGAGATGGTCTTAAACACAATTTTTTTTAATATATTTATGAGAAATAATTTATAGAAGTATTTTTAAAAAGTTACTTCAAAAATACTTTTAAGAGTTTATTTTTTTTATTAAATTTAGGGTGTTAATATTAGTCGTTAAATTAACTTTAAAGTAAAATTTAAAGCGATCTCAGCCGTGAATAGTAAAAGTCATTTTGTTTATCTTTTAAGATTTGAATCGTAAGTAACTTTATTATATAAATGAGAATTGATTTATCTTTAAATAAAATTAAAAAAGAATTGAAAGATATTTAAATAAAAAAATTAGTATCGTAGAAAAAGAATATTAAATGCCATGAACACTGTTTTGAATGCTAAGAAGAGAGAGAGAGACATATCTATAACCCTATAAATAACATATCTATAGAGATAGAAAGAGAGATTTTAGAGAGAGAAATTATTAATTAATTGAGTAATGCTAGACTACAATACAACNTAAAAAAGAATTGAAAGATATTTAAATAAAAAAATTAGTATCGTAGAAAAAGAATATTAAATGCCATGAACACTGTTTTGAATGCTAAGAAGAGAGAGAGAGACATATCTATAACCCTATAAATAACATATCTATAGAGATCGAAAGAGAGATTTTAGAGAGAGAAATTATTAATTAATTGAGTAATGCTAGACTACAATACAACATTACTGTAATTAATACTACAATACAGTTGTGGTTTTGAGCTTAGCTGGATTGGGGAGGGATTGTAGGCGGTCAAACCCCCACCGGACTTGTCTCTCCGGTGTCAGACCCGACCCACTAACCCTGACCCGTTGATGGTCAGTCACAACACAACCCTGGCTAGTCCCGGCCGAGCCTTCATTAACGGCATTTTTCCATCTCCGCGAAAGTGGCGGCGATGATCGGACTCTTGAGTGACAGTGTGTGTGTGTGTGTGGTAGAGAGAGAGAGAGAGAATAAACAAAACCCTTTTGAGTCCCGCTTGTTTTAGAGAAAGTGAGTGATAGCTATTCTTGACAAGCCAGCCCGCACTTTGTCTCTCGACAACTATCGTTCACTGCTTTNCTTGAGTGACAGTGTGTGTGTGTGTGTGGTAGAGAGAGAGAGAGAGAATAAACAAAACCCTTTTGAGTCCCGCTTGTTTTAGAGAAAGTGAGTGATAGCTATTCTTGACAAGCCAGCCCGCACTTTGTCTCTCGACAACTATCGTTCACTAATCTNTTCCATCTCCGCGAAAGTGGCGGCGATGATCGGACTCTTGAGTGACAGTGTGTGTGTGTGTGTGGTAGAGAGAGAGAGAGAGAATAAACAAAACCCTTTTGAGTCCCGCTTGTTTTAGAGAAAGTGAGTGATAGCTATTCTTGACAAGCCAGCCCGCACTTTGTCTCTCGACAACTATCGTTCACTGCTTTCTCTCTCTCTAAAACTACTGTTTTTGACTAATTTTTAATTGGGTTCCTCAGTTTCTCTCTCCTCCGTCAACCGAAGAAACTGAAATAAGTAGGGAGGCAGAAGAGACAGGGTAGGTAGAGAGAGTGGGTTTTTTTTTTTCTTTGGGTAAGTAGAGAGATTGGTCTGGAAGAATCCAATAAAGACACCATATCTTGCAGAAATCAAATCAAAGCTTACTGTGATTCATCAAGAAGGTGCTTACTGTGATTCAACAACAAGGTAAGACCTTAGTTTTCGAGGGGAAAATGTGGGTGTATATCCCAAGAATCCCTAATGTAAGTACACAATTCTACAGACAATTGTATACATACACATACACATACATGTTATGTGTATCAAGAACATGAAGATTCAAAGATAGTAGTCATGGTGGATCGGGGAAGAAGTGTTGTGGTTTTTTGGGTTGTGTTCTTTTTACTGTTTAACTCTAGTCTTGAGCAATTGAATGTGCCATTGAGTTTGTGGGTAGAAAGATTGGCTTTGCTTCAACTGAGATCGTCATTAGGGTTGAGGACAAAGGAGTGGCCTATAAAGCATGACCCTTGCTTAAACTGGACTGGTATTCAATGCTTTAATGGTAGAGTCATTGGGATCAATATTTCCGGGTTTAAGCGCACCAGAATTGGTAGCCAAAACCCCCTATTCTCTGTTGATGCTCTTTCAAATTTCACTCTGTTGCAGTCCTTTAATGCTTCCAGGTTTGCACTTCCTGGTCCAATTCCTGAATGGTTTGGAAGTAGGCTTGTTTCACTCCAAGTGCTCGATCTTCGCTCTTGTTCAATTGATAATGTAATACCTTCTAGTTTTGGAAATTTAACTAATCTTTCTGCTTTGTATTTATCTGGTAATAGGCTTACTGGGTTAATTCCTTCTAGTTTGAGTCAGTTGTCGCGCCTTTCAGTTCTTGATCTCTCTCGAAATTTGCTTACTGGATCCATTCCTCCGTCTTTTGCCCCACTTGGAAATCTTACTTTGCTTGACATGTCTTCGAATTACTTGTCTGGGACAATTCCACCAGGTATTGCAAAATTGTCCAAGCTTCAATTCTTGAATCTTTCTCGGAATGCTTTCGCTTCTTCGATACCTGTACAACTGGGTGACCTTTCTAGTCTGGTTGACCTTGATCTTAGCTTCAATTCTTTGTCTGGGTCAGTGCCATCCAATTGGAGAGGGTTGAGGAATTTGCAAAAAATGGTAATTGGGAACAATTTGCTCACTGGCTTGTTGCCAGGTAATTTGTTTCCTCCTTTGACTCAGCTGCAGTTTGTTGTTCTAAATCACAACAATCTCACCGGTGATCTACCTGATGTATTCTGGTCAATGCCTGAATTGCGATTTCTTGATGCCTCTGCCAATAATCTCACTGGGACTCTACCCAACCTTAGTTCAAATGCTAATACTACCACTGCAGTCTTCAACCTCTCCCAGAATATGTTTTATGGAGGTCTTACATCCATAATCAGGAGGTTCAGTTTTATTGATCTGTCCATGAATTATTTCGAAGGCAAGGTTCCAGATTACGCCCATGGTAATGTGTCTTTGAACGTAAATTGTCTCCAAAACGTGTCAAGCCAAAGGACTATGGTGGCATGTGCATCATTCTATGCTGAAAGGGGCCTGACATTTGATAATTTTGGATTACCAAATGCCACGCAGCCTCCGCCTCCTCCATCCAAAAAGGGAAGCCACAGAACCTTAATCATATTGGCAGGAGTTTTGGGGGCTTTGGGATTGATTGTACTGGTGGCGATTGTGCTGACACTGCTGATCATCTGCATGCGTAAGAGGGGAACAACGACCCAAAGAGGCACCGGTGTGGGGCCCATTCCAACAGGTGGAAGTCCATCACCTCCTGGAGTGCCTTTGGACTTTTCAAGTCTGGGAGAAGCATTTACATATCAGCAGATTCTCCAAGCCACGGTTGACTTCAGTGATGCAAACTTCATTAAACAGGGTCATTCTGGCAATCTTTTCCGGGGCATCCTTGAAGGTGGGATCCCTGTAGTAATCAAAAGAATTGATTTGCATTCGGTGAAAAAGGAAGCATACACGTTAGAGTTGGACTTTTTCAGTAAGGTTTCTCATCCCAGATTCATCCCTCTCCTGGGACATTGTTTGGAGAATGAGCACGAGAAGTTTCTGATTTACAAACATATGCCAAATGGAGACTTGTCAGATTCTTTGTTTAAGAAAACCAATTCGGTCGATGACCCTTTAGAGTCGTTGGATTGGATAACAAGACTAAAAATTGCAATAGAAGCTGCAGAAGGTCTCTCTTATCTGCATCATGAATGCACTCCTCCCCTTGTTCACAGGTATTCCAGCCTTTCCATGAATTGCTTATGTTTCACTATTCTTTCTTCTAATTACTGCCATTTTGTTCTTAATATCACTGCTTCTTATTACAAATGCGCTGATTGTTGCCGTGTATCGCCAGACCTTCACTTATGGGAGTGCATTTATTACTTTTATTATTATATCTNTGCTTATGTTTCACTATTCTTTCTTCTAATTACTGCCATTTTGTTCTTAATATCACCGCTTCTTATTACAAATGCACTGATTGTTGCCGTGTATCGCCAGACCTTCACTTATGGGAGTGCATTTATTACTTTTATTATTATATCTTTACAACTAAGAAATTTATTAATCAAAGAATTCATTGAACTTCTTACTTTGTGAAGTCAATTTCTTACTACAAGTTTCAAATACAAACATCCACCTATTATTGTTAATGGGCTCAGTCCCATAGACAATTCTTAGGACGGACACCATGTTGGACACAACATTATCTTAATATGTGTTACCATGTGTTGGACATGCCCATAGAGTATCTGGAATTAGCTTTTGACGTTGCACACATGGTAAGCCAATATTGCACTAAGGGGATACTGCTTAGATGTAGAATAAGAATGTAAGTATTGCTAACCATTTGCCATTACACATTGTTATTCCTACCAATTCAGGCTGTTAATTTAGGGTGAGCTAGGAGGCATGGACACTTCTAATGAGAAACCCTATCCTTGTATTCGACATGGATGTGCCTCAAGGCACTGACAATTCTCAAACTCTCTAATAGNCTATCCTTGTATTCGACATGGATGTGCCTCAAGGCACTGACAATTCTCAAACTCTCCTAGATATGGATAATTGTTAGTTTTTCTTGGGCCCAGACATACGCCTGACATCAATAAAAAACAAAATCTTTATGGTGGACGCTGGCTGCTGCTAACACTTATTGGACGCTCACAGGTGAGTGAAAACTTTGGGCGCTGAGGCGTACCAAATTTTTACCTTTCTCAAGAAGTATAACACGTACAAGTGTTCTAAGGAATTAAAGAAGAGGTTACCATATAACACGGAAAGAGTATCTTAATTGAGTTGGAGATTTTATGTGATTTTAGTTAAACATACTTTCAAGAGTTTGTGGTAGTGAGCTTACTGACATACTGTTTTCTAGGATTTTTTCTTTTTGTCAAGAAAAGCAAACACACACCTCACCAAGGAAATGCTTCAAATCTTACACCTATCACAACATTAAAAGGCCTGCAAAATCTTGATAGCAAACATGAACAAAGAAGTCAATGCAGATGCGTGTATTTGATGGCAAATCTGAACACATCTAATCCATGAACATCAACACAGAGGCACATTGCTCGTTTGAAATAGCATCACAACATAACAAATTTGGAAGGTGAATTGGAAACTGACCTGAGTATTTATTGTCCAATAGTTTTGGATATTTTCATTTGGTAATTTCCCTACTATTAGTGTGTAGCACCATCTCCAAATACCCATTTCCTATCATGTTCGGTGCGATACACTTTAAAGTGTTCATGTCATACTGGTTTTTCGGAAACTTAGTAAAGTTGTAAAAGTCACTTCATCGGGATATTGTTTTGGAAGATTGACAACACTTCTATGAAGGGTAAGATTTTAGGGAACTACTTACCCAAAAAAGGAAAAGATTTTAGGCAGCTAATGAAAACTCTCAAAATTTTGTTGAACTTTATATGCCTTATGAAACAAAAAAAAATCCATGGAAGCATGATTCCCTTGACTTTTTCTCGCCTCTTTTTTTTTTTCTATTATATTTTACGACTCTGAATCATCTTTTTTGTTAGGATTCATAACTCAATCCTTTTTTCTATTATAGTATCTTGGTTACATTATCTTGAACAGCTTACCAAATAGGATAGATTTTGACCAGAGTCTTCTCTTCCGGATTCCAAAAAGAGTTCCCAATCTATGTTGCCACTGTATTGTTAGAATTCATGTAATCTTGCCTATTTTCCCTCTAGTTTCTGCCTGTGATTTCAATTGTTTTAGCTATTGATTAGACATAATGCGGTTGACGATTGTGAAATTTGGATCTAAGAAAAGAATAAAAAAGTGGTGGTTAGAAAATAGGTCGAGATACATGTAAAATTATGTTGTGAACGAAACAGCATTGGAATAAATTGATGACCTGTTATATTTTTGTGTTTGCAATTTTTTAGTTTCTTCCCTCTTCCCTTGTTGATGCATTTTTAACAATGGGATTGATTTAATATATATTTTGGAAATTTAAGAGGGATCAAGTTAGTCTTAGTATACTTTTGCGCCTTCTGGCCTGTAAAGTGTAATTTTTGAACTTTTTTTCTCTTATTTTTTTCATCAATGAGCGCATTTGGAACTCATGGATGTTAGAGGGAGTTAGAACAGTATATTTATATTACTAAACAGTATGAGCCAGCCCTTGCAGTCATGTATTGGAATTCTATAGGTGTTCTCTTTATGCTTGATGAAGTTTTCACTAGCTTTTAGAAAATATTCTTGCCTAGTTTTCCGATGAATGATATCCATTTCTTTTTGTTATTGAAGAGATGTTCAAGCCAGCAGCATTCTTCTTGATGATAAATTTGAAGTGCGGTTAGGGAGCCTAAGTGAAGTCTGTGCGCAAGAAGGGGAAAATCATCAAAACAGAATTACCAGGTTGCTGCGGTTACCACAGTAAGTATTCCTCAGTTTTGCAGTTTGTAAACTCTATGGAAACATATAGATTCAAACTTTAGCCCTTGTTTTCAGTGTTCTAGGGTGGATCCCTTTTGTTTCCATCATTGTCCAATAAACAATTTTGAAATTGAGCTATGCGCTGTTATTCTAAATCCATTATATGTTTGCCTTTATTGTGAGCCATATTTGAGATGTGAACTAAAAAAATTTGTCCTTTTTAGTCTATGTTCTTTGTTTCCTGAAAGTTTCCAACTGGAATCGTATGAAACTTTTTTTTGCTAAGTGGAATCATATGGCATTTAATATGTATTATTGGGGTCCTTGGATCGCCTGATCCTCATAAATCAAGAGAGCAATTACAATATAAAATTCAATTGTGACGGCTCAATATCGTGTCACTGTCCAGATCATAGTTCAAAGTATCCGTCATTACCGATATGAGTTGGCCGAGTCGTATCTGACTTGTCACATTCTGACATAATACCGATACATAATACATATAAATCCCGAGGCTTGCACGACTCGGTCAAGTCATCCAAGTTGTATTTAAGTCAATCCTAAGTCGTCGAGTTATCGTCGTCGAATAGGCCGATATTGTTCCGTGATTTTACGATATGACCTAAATCTCTCATCGTGTTTAACATTTTCTTTTAAGTCATATTGCCCAATATCGTGTCGTGATGCCACGGCCAATGTGTCTCAAAGCTCTCCGATTCGATGACCAATACCACGATCTTCATTGAATTGTGACCTTACCGTATTATACTTGTTACATTTACATGTAAACACACTTTTGTAAATGGAATTTTTTGGGAGGGTTTGTAAATGTATTTTTGATCTGCTTGAATTGGAACAAGATTAATTTAGTGTTGATGCTCTTGCACCTGCTTTCATTCTGACTCTCGACAGTGCGCTGTAGTTAAATGGAAGCACATAATAAATAGGGTGTGGAAGACTTAACATGCCTAATCTCCCTGTCAAGATTGTTTGCATTGTTTAATGGACCATAAATGCCATATTATGCCCCCATGATTCTGTAGTTTTAACTGACGACATNCTTTCATTCTGACTCTCGACAGTGCGCTGTAGTTAAATGGAAGCACATAATAAATATGGTGTGGAAGACTTAACATGCCTAATCTCCCTGTCAAGATTGTTTGCATTGTTTAATGGACCATGAATGCCATATTATGCCCCCATGATTCTGTAGTTTTAACTGACGACGTTGCAGATTAAAAAAATAGCATTTGTTGTGACTATGCATGTTAATCAACCCATGACTCTAGCAATAAGGATATGTAACTGTTTACACCAAAATATGCCAAATCCAGAAAAAGACACGTGGAGCGATCTGACGGTTGGGCAAAGGTCAAAAGAAGTCTTAGATGACTCAACGGTTACCCAAAAAGATCTCCAAGGATTTTGGGAATGTTTAGAAGAACGTGGTGGTGTGGAGGTATCAGTTATAGACGGCTGAGAGCACATTGTAGCCGTTGCAGAGTGAATGCCCCAGGTATAGGAGTGGCCGGGAAAGATGGCCCCAACGATCAGTGATCACCGGCTATAAATACATAAAGAACAAGCCAATGAAAAGCCCAACATCAACAACCCGAGAAATAGCACACCCGAACTCGCTTTTGCATTGCTCTGCTTTTATGCTTACCATCTATTTTACTTTATTTGTAATTCCCTCACCATTCCAGTGGTCATGTCGTGTTTCTAATTTTAGTATATAAACTCGTTTCATTTGGTTATGCCCATTATGGTTTTCCAATTTCCTTTTGCTTTTCTTTAAGATTATTTGTTTCTTCAGAAAAATTGCTAGAGTCTTTGATCACCAAGGCATAAAAGAACCTAGAGATAATTTTACGCCTCGCTATAGTCACCTTAACAGTTATTATTTAGGAGCTCACGTAGGTTCGAGTAGGTATGGTTGTATTGTTTGGATTCGTTAAGTCCAATCAGACTTTAGCATCCCTACAATCAGAAAATACGTAACGTACAAAAAATATATGTGCTTATATGAATTCAACTGTAATCATGTGTTGGATACTGCTGCAAGGAGATCCTTGTGCCTGTGAAGATTTCTGCGCGTGACCATAGGTTCCATGGAATGGGAGATTGAATCTAGGGCAGACATCATTGCAAAATGGTCTTCCAAATAACTATATTATCATCCATTATAGATGTCTATTTTTTCTATGCATACTTTTGTTGTATCGCATATATAGTTGAAATATATTCACATTTACAATAACAATAGAACGTTGTTTTTTTCTTTCTTTAAATGAAGTTACAGATGGATTGCATATTTATGTTGCTTGATTGAGGTTGTAATAGAAGTCTTCTCTTCATCGTGTGCAGGACATCTGAACAAGGCTCGTCTGGTAAGGGACATTATGATATTTTAGTTTGTCATTGGTTATTTCTTGTCTTCCTTTGTGTTAGTTTGGTTTGGTACATTGAAATGCTGCTTGTTAGTCCATTTATCTGACCTCTTGGAGCCTTGTGCTCTAATCTTCCTATACTATCACTTAAATATAAGATATCATGTATCTCAAAAATCATTATCATTGGGAAGCCAGCCCTGTCGGGGCAATACTAGAGCTATAAAATCTGGATGTAGGTGGGGTGCTGTTTCTACAATGTGGATACTGGGTCTTGTTGGGACCTCATATAGTGCAGCCATTGTGCACCCTGTTTTATGTAATTTCATACTTATAGATCGTCTGCTGTGGCTTTTTTACGGTTTTAACATGGAAGCCATTTTATGGTGCTTCTGCCATATATTTTTCAGAGGACTGATCTGTGTTTTTCTAGAATAGAAAATGATGAGGGGCAACTGGAGAGAACCTTCTGCTACATGTTTGGCTAGAGGTTATATGCCATTTTATTAAAAAAATGTTCCTTTTCTATCGTAAGATATTAATTATTGATTGAACTCCTGGAAGGACAATGTGAAAACATCTGATACTGATATGGGAGACACCAAAACCCCACGCACACATGCACAGTGATTATCGGTTGTCTGATGTTGATTGATTAAAAATGATTATATGAGTTGCTTAGTCTATTCAGATCAGTTGAGCGACAACCTCAGCTGACTGAACTTCAAGGTGAAAAGTGCTTAAAATCACTTGGACTCCCAAACTTGTAACTTTCTTCAATGTTTTTGTTGTTCTAAAATTTTCTTTCTCATTTGGAAATGGCCAGGTACACCTACAGCAACAGGTGCCTATGATGTGTACTGCTTTGGGAAGGTGTTGCTTGAACTGGTAACAGGCAAGCTGGGCATAAGTGCATCCAGTGATGCCACCATGAAGGATTGGTTGGAAGGGACACTACCATACATCAGTATATATGACAAGGAACTCGTGACAACTATTGTGGACCCATCTCTAGTGATCTATGAGGATTTATTAGAGGAAGTTTGGGCCATGGCCGTTGTTGCAAAGTCTTGCCTCAATCCCAAGCCTTCAAGGCGGCCCCTAATGAGATACATCCTTAAAGCTTTAGAAAATCCTTTGAAAGTGGTGAGGGATGAAAACACTAGCTCTGCGAGGCTTAGAGCTACGTCCTCTAGAGGGTCGTGGAATGCTGCTCTGTTTGGTAGCTGGCGTCATAGCTCATCAGATGTGGTGGCCATTCCAGCAGCCCCCAGTAACAAAGCAGGAGGGAGTAGCTTTAAACAGTCGGGAACTACAGGTTCTGAAGGAAGTGGTCAGAATGGTGAAGGGGGCAATTCATCCTCGACTAGGCGGCATTCCAAGGAGATTTTCCCTGAACCACCACTGGATGTGCAAGATTTAGAGGGCAAATGAGGACTAGGGGAGAGGTCAATTGTTCTTAATTTTTTTGTCAATAACACAGCAGGCTCCCCATTTGAGTGCCTTGCTTGTTTGCTTGTTGGTAACCCAGCATACTCTTCTCCATTCTGGAGTTCTGGGGTTGCAGGCCATTTTTGTTCGTTCTTGGGGTGTTCAGAAGGTGCACAGCCCCCACTGATGGGGAATGGAAACTGAAATATGGAGGGTTTTCTTGTTTCCAAGAGCAGCAAGGCGATGTCAAATTGTTCTTGGGTTTTTGACTTTGAGACTAAATGGAAACAGAAACACAGCAGGGATTGTGAGTGGTTGTCCTTGTTTGCTATTTGTTTGAGTGCTTGTTTGACAGATAAACAAGCTACAATTTTTCTGTAATTGATCTTTGTAGTCTTGTGGAATGTAAATTGTAGGGGCCCTGGCGCTTCCAATTTTGGGGGGGAAATAGAAGAATGATTATTTGAGTTATTTTGAGTTTATTAATTGCCTTGGTGACAGAAGGCTCGTTATACTGGGCTGTCTTTTTTAGTTTCCCCTGGTACCTGTGCTGAACTTCTGCTGCAAGTGATGAGCTCACCGCTCCCATGCTATGTTATGTACATATTTTTAATATATTTTTATTTGATATTAGAAGTAATTGTTAGGAAATTATTTTAGTAAGTAAGGAATAAAATATTTTGTTGGTAGTTTTCTAGTTAGTTATTAAGATAGTTGAATCATTGGTTATGTTAATTATTAAGGTAATTTTTATTATCTTGTATTTAAAAATTTTTTTATTAATGTAAATGGTACGATGAATANGGCCATTCCAGCAGCCCCCAGTAACAAAGCAGGAGGGAGTAGCTTTAAACAGTCGGGAACTACAGGTTCTGAAGGAAGTGGTCAGAATGGTGAAGGGGGCAATTCATCCTCGACTAGGCGGCATTCCAAGGAGATTTTCCCTGAACCACCACTGGATGTGCAAGATTTAGAGGGCAAATGAGGACTAGGGGAGAGGTCAATTGTTCTTAATTTTTTTGTCAATAACACAGCAGGCTCCCCATTTGAGTGCCTTGCTTGTTTGCTTGTTGGTAACCCAGCATACTCTTCTCCATTCTGGAGTTCTGGGGTTGCAGGCCATTTTTGTTCGTTCTTGGGGTGTTCAGAAGGTGCACAGCCCCCACTGATGGGGAATGGAAACTGAAATATGGAGGGTTTTCTTGTTTCCAAGAGCAGCAAGGCGATGTCAAATTGTTCTTGGGTTTTTGACTTTGAGACTAAATGGAAACAGAAACACAGCAGGGATTGTGAGTGGTTGTCCTTGTTTGCTATTTGTTTGAGTGCTTGTTTGACAGATAAACAAGCTACAATTTTTCTGTAATTGATCTTTGTAGTCTTGTGGAATGTAAATTGTAGGGGCCCTGGCGCTTCCAATTTTGGGGGGGAAATAGAAGAATGATTATTTGAGTTATTTTGAGTTTATTAATTGCCTTGGTGACAGAAGGCTCGTTATACTGGGCTGTCTTTTTTAGTTTCCCCTGGTACCTGTGCTGAACTTCTGCTGCAAGTGATGAGCTCACCGCTCCCATGCTATGTTATGTACATATTTTTAATATATTTTTATTTGATATTAGAAGTAATTGTTAGGAAATTATTTTAGTAAGTAAGGAATAAAATATTTTGTTGGTAGTTTTCTAGTTAGTTATTAAGATAGTTGAATCATTGGTTATGTTAATTATTAAGGTAATTTTTATTATCTTGTATTTAAAAATTTTTTTATTAATGTAAATGGTACGATGAATATTAAATTAAATTTTCTTGTAAAATTTTGGAGATAAATTTTTTTCAAATTGAACCATCAGATGTACTCCCCCTTGGGTTTTCTTCTTTCAATTTTATTTTTCATTTATTCCTCAAAGTGTGCACGTAACATGCTCTTTGCAAATTCAACCTAAAAGTTATAGCATTTGGAACAATGGCCAATTTCCTAACGTGGAGAGGGAGAGAGCTGGCCAACTTTAATTGCCTCGGCAAATGATGCAATTATCAGTTTTGCACAGCACCCAGGCACAGAGTTGTAACCAGCAAAATAAAGTATAAAAATGAACTCTGCATGTTAGGCAACAAAAGTGCAACGCAGCATTTTGCCCCTAAAAAGGATGTTCAAAAATTGACTACAAAATGGTTACAGAAACCCAGTAAGAATAGATGATAACAGGAACCTTTAACCAGCTGCTTCCAGCTTTGGAGCTTTAGCATTCGAGTAAACAGGGTGAAGAATATGCCCAGCCATGGGGATAATGTGCACCCACTTGCGTCCACTCAGCTTGTCCCATTCAAACTTGACATTCCCTTCTTTCAAAGCAAATAGGGTGTGATCCTTCCCCATTCCAACATAATCTCCTGGATGAAAACGGGTTCCCCTTTGACGGACAATAATGTTCCCTGGTATCACTCTCTGAACAATACAATAAAGTGTCTTACTATGAGGATCATAAGGTTCATTAGGAATTATAATAACAATGCATCATCATCACCATGAATTTTCCAAGTCTTTATTGCAACTAAAAAATTCATCCACTCACCTCTCCACCAAACTTCTTCACTCCAAGGTTCTTTGGTTTCGAGTCTCGGCCATTCTTCGTGGATCCTGCTGTCTTTTTGGTAGCCCAACGCCTGAATATCAAGCTCAAACCACCTCCAGATATATCTGAATGTCGCAAACTAAAACATGGTTAAATCCAACAATTATACACCACCATGGAATAGAAATGGTATAGAGATTATACCACTAGCAGTGCTGTAGACAGGAACATTTGTAACCAGCTCACTGAGTTTCAATCTTCTACACACGGATGTAGCAAAATTCATCATGGTGTTCACTGAATAGGAAGATCAAACCTGAAAACAATTCCCATGTAGATTACAAGAAGTGCGATGAATTCATCTTTAATGAACAAGTTTCTGATAACCAAACTGAACCAGCCAGTTGACCTTAGGCAACCAATGGCCCTTTAGAGGACAAGCCATTTTGGCACAAGCCTTCTACACATAATAAACGAAACCAAAAGGACAAGCAGATATTAGAGACATGTTGACATAGATGACTTGCATATGCCCCAAGATAGACCAAGTCTACGTAAATCACCCCATACTAAATCACGGCATGAACCCCGATTTGTGCAAAACAACGAATGCATATATCGGATGATCAAGATAGCTTTCCAATGCTATTTTCCTATTGGAAATCCATACATGCCAATACAGGATATCAAAAATTATGATTTCCACCACACTCCAAACATCATCTCATCTATGAAAACATATGAAACTAAAAACTATATCAATTTTAATTTTTCCTCCTAATGACCGTTTGGGGGAAGGTGAATATGGGGTTTCCACTGAAGCATCTGAAGATTGAGAAAATTAAAACCGTGTCTTGAAATAAATCATAATGCNATGAAACTAAAAACTATATCAATTTTAATTTTTCCTCCTAATGACCGTTTGGGGGAGGTGAATATGGGGTTTCCACTGAAGCATCTGAAGATTGACAAAATTAAAACCGTGTCTTGAAATAAATCATAATGCTGCAAATTCATGGAATCGAATACAATTTAGAGGCAATGCAGGAAGGTAGAGGGGATTGTGCTGCATGGCATCATTGAATAAATCCAATGATGACATGTCAAAAAACCAAGCACCAGTCGCTTATAAGAAATAGTCCACTACGCAGAAAATTACTAGGACAGGCAAAGATATTCAATCCCTTCTGCAACTTCCTCCTTCACACTATCTTATTTCTCAAAACTGATCAGAGAATTTGAACCAGGGGACAGTTGCCAAAGAAAGGAGAGAGAAACCTTAAATCCATATACAAATATTTCTTCTTATTTAAGAGAATTGATAAGCAATTATCTCACAAGAGACCTTCAAAATTTCAGCTAAACCAAAGGATTGAAACATTATCTTAGAACTTGGAAAGAACACTTAACAGGTTAACGTCATATTTACATCGCACACCCCTTAACCCGGTTATATGTGCATTTCCTCCATGCCCAAGTTTGAGTATTTTCACCTTCTGTGATAATGTTTCAAGCTTGTGCAATAAAATCAAGTACATCCTCATTAAATAGCCATTCTAAAGACTAAGCAGTTTAAGTGGATACACACAGCCTTGAATTCCTGAAAGCTGCTTCAAACCCATTTAATGGCATATCAGAAAGTGTAACATCACATCTGCCAAAGCTGTTCATATAGAAAATTACACACAAACCTCAGCTACCCATCACTCATAGCTGTCAAAATATAGAAGTGCACTTCAGAATTGTGTTCTAATTCCAGTGAAATGGTGTGCAAAGGAATGAAGCCAATTCAAGGGACGATCACATTAAACAACATACGCAGAGACTCAACAGTAGCATACTAATTTGTACGCTTCAGAAGAAATTAAAGAACAAACGTATTCAAATGATGCAATTAGAACTAGACAAAGAATACACCCACATTCTCGAGCAACACCGAAGAGGAACAAAACACGCAAGAGTCGAATAACTCCAAACATAATCAGGTCTCCAATAATTCTGATTTTTCTTCGATAACAGGAAAAAAAAAAATTTAAATGCAGTAAAGCATTCTAGTCCTACACAAGAAATCCATTCCAATAAAGTTANAAGAGGAACAAAACACGCAAGAGTCGAATAACTCCAAACATAATCAGGTCTCCAATAATTCTGATTTTTCTTCGATAACAGGAAAAAAAAATTTAAATGCAGTAAAGCATTCTAGTCCTACACAAGAAATTCATTCCAATAAAGTTAAAAGTTCGGAGGCTGACCTGACCTGGTTGAGTTGATTCGAAAAATCTTCTGCAAGGAGCTCGATCTATGGGTTGAAGACGAAGATCTGCATGTTGTTCTCGGTCCGTCGCTAGGGTTTTTGAGCTCTTCTCTTTCAGACGTTTGCCTTGACCGAGGGGAACTGACTGGAGGTTTCTTTATTTTTTGGTTCGACTGTGAGGTATATTTATATATTTATTTTATATTAAAAAGGGTCAATTTGTAATTTGATCGTTAATTTTATGCAGAATGACTTATTTGTATATTTATTTTACATAAAAAAAAATGGTCAATTTGTAATTTAACCATAAATTATATAAAAAAAATTATTTTATTACTTTAAACATTAATGATCTTATTATACTTAACTTTCTCAGAATGAAAAAAATGTTAATTTATGTATTAAATTTGTTTTTAATTTACTCAATTTCATTAAAACAAATCACCTCCATAAACACATTACACATTACAACAGTGAAAGAGGTATTATTTTGGTGATAAAAGTTAGAATTTTAAAGGATATAGTCGATCATAAAATATTATAATTAATTATAAAAAAATATAATTTTTAAAGATCAAATAACACCTTTTATTATTATCCACAAATCTCATGGCAAAATATTATTGACNTAAAGAACAAACGTATTCAAATGATGCAATTAGAACTAGACAAAGAATACACCCACATTCTCGAGCAACACCGAAGAGGAACAAAACACGCAAGAGTCGAATAACTCCAAACATAATCAGGTCTCCAATAATTCTGATTTTTCTTCGATAACAGGAAAAAAAAATTTAAATGCAGTAAAGCATTCTAGTCCTACACAAGAAATTCATTCCAATAAAGTTAAAAGTTCGGAGGCTGACCTGACCTGGTTGAGTTGATTCGAAAAATCTTCTGCAAGGAGCTCGATCTATGGGTTGAAGACGAAGATCTGCATGTTGTTCTCGGTCCGTCGCTAGGGTTTTTGAGCTCTTCTCTTTCAGACGTTTGCCTTTGACTGAGGGGAACTGACTGGAGGTTTCTTTATTTTTTGGTTCGACTGTGAGGGATATTTATATATTTATTTTATATTAAAAAGGGTCAATTTGTAATTTGATCGTTAATTTTATTTGTAATTTAACCATAAATTATATAAAAAAATTTATTTTATTACTTTAAACATTAATGATCTTATTATACTTAACTTTCTCAGAATGACAAAAAGTTAATTTATGTATTAAATTTGTTTTTAATTTACTCAATTTCATTAAAAACAAATCACCTCACATCCATAAACACATTACGACAGTGTAAGAGGTATAATTTTGGTGATATAAGTTAGAATTTTAAAGGATATATTCGATCATAAAATATAATAATTAATTATTAAAAAAATATAATTTTTAAAGATCAAATAACACCTTTTATTATTATCCTCAAATCTCATGGCAAAATATTATTGACCCTTAAAGAGAATTTGCCTCCTACCGAAAAAACAAAAGTCACTTTGGAAAAATTAATTTTTTTATTGTTTTCCCCCCCTCCCCTCGTACACGTGTATTTCATGTATTAATTTACTTCCAATTATTTCTCTATTGATCAATCCACATTTTGATAATGTAGTACCAATGCAACTTATTTTTTGTATAATAAGACATTACAAATCAAATTTTTTATTCAAATGATGACTCAAATTTGAGTAAAAATCTGAGTCAAGACTCGGGATGACGTTAATTACAAATATGCTAATAAATATTTTACTAGCTCTTGGNCAAATCAAATTTTTTATTCAAATGATGACTCAAATTTGAGTAAAAATCTGAGTCAAAACTCGGGATGACCTTAATTACAAATATGCTAATAAATATTTTACTAGCTCTTGGTCAACCCATAAAAATCCAATGAAATCAAAGTCACTATACTCTAAATAACCTTTCCAAAGCTATCCCATAAGCATCTTATCTAATTGTTGTCAGTAGAACAAATCTCGAGCAAATTTTATGCTCAAAAACTGGGGATCGATCGAGAAAAAGGTCAGTGTTTCATCAATTGATATGTCATTATGTTTCTTTCTTTCTTTCTTTNACATATTTTTAATATATTTTTATTTGATATTAGAAGTAATTGTTAGGAAATTATTTTGGCAAGAAAGGAATAAAATATTTTGTTGGTAGTTTTCTAGGTAGTTATTAAGATAGTTGAATCATTGGTTATGTTAATTATTAAGGTAATTTTTATTATCTTGTATTTAAAGATTTTTTTATTAATGTAAATGGTACGATGAATATTAAATTAAATTTTCTTGTAAAATTTTGGAGATAAATTTTTTCAAATTGAACCATCAGATGTACTCCCCCTTGGGTTTTCTTCTTTCAATTTTATTTTTCATTTATTTTCAAAATTCCTCAAAGTGTGCACGTAACATGCTCTTTGCAAATTCAACCTAAAAGTTATAGCATTTGGAACTATGGCCAATTTCCTAACGTGGAGAGGGAGAGAGCTGGCCAACTTTAATTGCCTCGGCAAATGATGCAATTATCAGTTTTGCACAGCACCCAGGCACAGAGTTGTAACCAGCAAAATAAAGTATAAAAATGAACTCTGCATGTTAGGCAACAAAAGTGCAACGCAGCATTTTGCCCCTAAAAAGGATGTTCAAAAATTGACTACAAAATGGTTACAGAAACCCAGTAAGAATAGATGATAACAGGAACCTTTAACCAGCTGCTTCCAGCTTTGGAGCTTTAGCATTCGAGTAAACAGGGTGAAGAATATGCCCAGCCATGGGGATAATGTGCACCCACTTGCGTCCACTCAGCTTGTCCCATTCAAACTTGACATTCCCTTCTTTCAAAGCAAATAGGGTGTGATCCTTCCCCATTCCAACATAATCTCCTGGATGAAAACGGGTTCCCCTTTGACGGACAATAATGTTCCCTGGTATCACTCTCTGAACAATACAATAAAGTGTCTTACTATGAGGATCATAAGGTTCATTAGGAATTATAATAACAATGCATCATCATCACCACGAATTTTCCAAGTCTTTATTGCAACTAAAAAATTCATCCACTCACCTCTCCACCAAACTTCTTCACTCCAAGGTTCTTTGGTTTCGAGTCTCGGCCATTCTTCGTGGATCCTGCTGTCTTTTTGGTAGCCCAACGCCTGAATATCAAGCTCAAACCACCTCCAGATACATCTGAATGTCGCAAACTAAAACATGGTTAAATCCAACAATTATACACCACCATGGAATAGAAATGGTATAGAGATTATACCACTAGCAGTGCTGTAGACAGGAACATTTGTAACCAGCTCACTGAGTTTCAATCTTCTACACACGGATGTAGCAAAATTCATCATGGTGTTCACTGAATAGGAAGATCAAACCTGAAAACAATTCCCATGTAGATTACAAGAAGTGCGATGAATTCATCTTTAATGAACAAGTTTCTGATAACCAAACTGAACCAGCCAGTTGACCTTAGGCAACCAATGGCCCTTTAGAGGACAAGCCATTTTGGCACAAGCCTTCTACACATAATAAACGAAACCAAAAGGACAAGCAGATATTAGAGACATGTTGACATAGATGACTTGCATATGCCCCAAGATAGACCAAGTCTACGTAAATCACCCCATACTAAATCACGGCATGAACCCCGATTTGTGAAAAACAACGAATGCATATATCGGATGATCAAGATAGCTTTCCAATGCTATTTTCCTATTGGAAATCCATACATGCCAATACAGGATATCAAAAATTATGATTTCCACCACACTCCAAACATCATCTCATCTATGAAAACATATGAAACTAAAAACTATATCAATTTTAATTTTTCCTCCTAATGACCGTTTGGGGGAAGGTGAATATGGGGTTTCCACTGAAGCATCTGAAGATTGAGAAAATTAAAACCGTGTCTTGAAATAAATCATAATGCTGCAAATTCATGGAATCGAATACAATTTAGAGGCAATGCAGGAAGGTAGAGGGGATTGTGCTGCATGGCATCATTGAATAAATCCAATGATGACATGTCAAAAAACCAAGCACCAGTCGCTTATAAGAAATAGTCCACTACGCAGAAAATTACTAGGACAGGCAAAGATATTCAATCCCTTCTGCAACTTCCTCCTTCACACTATCTTATTTCTCAAAACTGATCAGAGAATTTGAACCAGGGGACAGTTGCCAAAGAAAGGAGAGAGAAACCTTAAATCCATATACAAATATTTCTTCTTATTTAAGAGAATTGATAAGCAATTATCTCACAAGAGACCTTCAAAATTTCAGCTAAACCAAAGGATTGAAACATTATCTTAGAACTTGGAAAGAACACTTTAACAGGTTAACGTCATATTTACATCGCACACCCCTTAACCCAGTTATATGTGCATTTCCTCCATGCCCAAGTTTGAGTATTTTCACCTTCTGTGATAATGTTTCAAGCTTGTGCAATAAAATCAAGTACATCCTCATTAAATAGCCATTCTAAAGACTAAGCAGTTTAAGTGGATACACACAGCCTTGAATTCCTGAAAGCTGCTTCAAACCCATTTAATGGCATATCAGAAAGTGTAACATCACATCTGCCAAAGCTGTTCATATAGAAAATTACACACAAACCTCAGCTACCCATCACTCATAGCTGTCAAAATATAGAAGTGCACTTCAGAATTGTGTTCTAATTCCAGTGAAATGGTGTGCAAAGGAATGAAGCCAATTCAAGGGACGATCACATTAAACAACATACGCAGAGACTCAACAGTAGCATACTAATTTGTACGCTTCAGAAGAAATTAAAGAACAAACGTATTCAAATGATGCAATTAGAACTAGACAAAGAATACACCCACATTCTCGAGCAACACCGAAGAGGAACAAAACACGCAAGAGTCGAATAACTCCAAACATAATCAGGTCTCCAATAATTCTGATTTTTCTTCGATAACAGGAAAAAAAAATTTAAATGCAGTAAAGCATTCTAGTCCTACACAAGAAATTCATTCCAATAAAGTTAAAAGTTCGGAGGCTGACCTGACCTGGTTGAGTTGATTCGAAAAATCTTCTGCAAGGAGCTCGATCTATGGGTTGAAGACGAAGATCTGCATGTTGTTCTCGGTCCGTCGCTAGGGTTTTTGAGCTCTTCTCTTTCAGACGTTTGCCTTTGACTGAGGGGAACTGACTGGAGGTTTCTTTATTTTTTGGTTCGACTGTGAGGGATATTTATATATTTATTTTATATTAAAAAGGGTCAATTTGTAATTTGATCGTTAATTTTATTTGTAATTTAACCATAAATTATATAAAAAAATTTATTTTATTACTTTAAACATTAATGATCTTATTATACTTAACTTTCTCAGAATGACAAAAAGTTAATTTATGTATTAAATTTGTTTTTAATTTACTCAATTTCATTAAAAACAAATCACCTCACATCCATAAACACATTACGACAGTGTAAGAGGTATAATTTTGGTGATATAAGTTAGAATTTTAAAGGATATATTCGATCATAAAATATAATAATTAATTATTAAAAAAATATAATTTTTAAAGATCAAATAACACCTTTTATTATTATCCTCAAATCTCATGGCAAAATATTATTGACCCTTAAAGAGAATTTGCCTCCTACCGAAAAAACAAAAGTCACTTTGGAAAAATTAATTTTTTTATTGTTTTCCCCCCCTCCCCTCGTACACGTGTATTTCATGTATTAATTTACTTCCAATTATTTCTCTATTGATCAATCCACATTTTGATAATGTAGTACCAATGCAACTTATTTTTTGTATAATAAGACATTACAAATCAAATTTTTTATTCAAATGATGACTCAAATTTGAGTAAAAATCTGAGTCAAAACTCGGGATGACCTTAATTACAAATATGCTAATAAATATTTTACTAGCTCTTGGTCAACCCATAAAAATCCAATGAAATCAAAGTCACTATACTCTAAATAACCTTTCCAAAGCTATCCCATAAGCATCTTATCTAATTGTTGTCAGTAGAACAAATCTCGAGCAAATTTTATGCTCAAAAACTGGGGATCGATCGAGAAAAAGGTCAGTGTTTCATCAATTGATACGTCATTATGTTTTTTTCTTTCTTTCTTTCTTTCTTTTTTTTTTTTTTTTGTTGATGATGGCTAATGAAAAAGAAAACCTTAATGATGAAGAGAAACCTCCATGCAATCTACCCAAGACCAAGGCGGCATATGGGGTTCCTCTTAATGAGACCAAGGTCCACCTGCAAAAATCAATACAGAATCATGCCAAAACCAATCTTTAGCAAAGGAGAATACTGGTTCATGTAGGAGCAGAAAGTTATACCTTGTGTCCAAAGAGGTCGCTGATGTTATCAATCCCATACAGAATCATGGTTGGTCCAAGACAAAACCAAAACAAAAAACGGAAAAAGAAATGAAACGATCAATCATCACCGGAATTTTGGCATTGTTTCGTAAGATACAATGAATACACACAACCAGCAAAGGTATAATGGGAAATAATAAAATCACTTACCTTTCGAGTGAAAGGCCCCATGCAATAACCCGGACATCATCTGGAAGTCCCATAGGCTGTAGCATTTCAGGTCTGAACATGCCAGAATTTCCAACTTCCACCCATTTCTTGAAGCCTTCATGATAGCTGATCAAATATGGAAAATCTGAGTCCTACAAAAGCTAAACTTGTATTGAGCTGAAGTTATGGTTTGTTACCTGAAGATTTCCATGCTGGGTTCAGTATATGGACTGTAAGCAGGCTTGAAACGCAACTTGGACATGCCAGGAAACAAGAGATGTGATATTAGAAGTCCAAATAAAGCCCCTACCAATTGTGTATCTTCCCCAAGATCACAATATAGTAGCCATTGCTCTGCTAATCAAAAAACAATCACAATATAAATATTTTATAATACTGAAAGCTGGCACATAGCTTCACTCCTTTGGACCTCTGAAAAAGCATGAAAACTGAAGGTTAAGCAAAAAGTTGATGTATTACCCAGACGGGAGAAAGGGTCATGCAGAACTCCAATCAGGTCACCAAGGCTAAGCCCCTGACCACATATTAGGCCTGAAAATGGCAGTTCACCCAGAGTAATTCCCAAAGAGCGCATATATACACACAAAACACATCATTACACATATGTGGGCTTTTTTGTTTATCGCACAACAATTGAGCATTCAAATTTAATTTACATGGTGGTTGCTCATAAAAGAGTTTATATTCTAAAGGGGCCAATAAATGAAAATGATGTGGTCACCAGAGGTGTCAACCCATACCATTTAGATCAACAGGGTGTCACTTATGTAAGATTGCTTCATCAACCATTTTGATAACTTCAAATCTCCCATTAACCCCAGATTCAATGAAAGTAACTCCAATACAGTTGCCTAGAAGAGGTTTGTCAAGCATGGTACTGCTGTGCAGGGAATTCAACTGACTTGTACCGATAGACCCATATTGTATGGGAAATAGGCGCCTTTCTTTTCACTGTAGCCAAATTAATACCTTCATATTGTCAATTATCCTATATCCTTTCCAAGAATGCTATTATGATCAGTGTTGTTAGTATTGTACGATACGCGATATGTATCGTACGATACGTTATGATACAGAAGGATCCCGATACGAATCATACTTTTGTATCGTTTTTGCATTGTATCATCCGATACACGATACGTTTTTACGATACGATACGTATTGGTACAATACGAACGATACGCGCATATGCTGTTTAATTTTTTTTTTTGCTAGAACGACGTCATTTTGAGTGAGACTGATTTTTTTATCCCTATAACCACTGAAACGACGTCGTTTCAATGGCTAGGGTTTACAAAAAAAAAAAAATCTCTCTTCTTCACGATCTCTCAATTTTTTATTTCTTTTTCGCTGGCCTCTGGCTTCTTAGGAAACAGTAGCGGTGGCCGGGAGCCTTTATTGATGAATAAAGTAAAAAGGAGAGAACNGTATTGTACGATACGCGATATGTATCGTACGATACGTTATGATACAGAAGGATCCCAATATGAATCATACTTTTGTATCGTTTTTGCATTGTATCATCCGATACACGATACGTTTTTACGATACGATACGTATTGGTACAATACGAACGATACGCGCATATGCTGTTTAATTTTTTTTTTTGCTAGAACGACGTCATTTTGAGTGAGACTGATTTTTTTATCCCTATAACCACTGAAACGACGTCGTTTCAATGGCTAGGGTTTACAAAAAAAAAAAAATCTCTCTTCTTCACGATCTCTCAATTTTTTATTTCTTTTTCGCTGGCCTCTGGCTTCTTAGGAAACAGTAGCGGTGGCCGGGAGCCTTTATTGATGAATAAAGTAAAAAGGAGAGAACTCCAAGAGAATATGCTCCGGGAGAGCTACAATAGCTAAGAGAGAAGCTATGTGTGTAGAGGAGATGTCAAGGTGTGTTAAGAGATGTGTGTTGGAAGAGAGATGTCTCTCCATGTGGAAAGAGCTTACAATATATAGGTTTAGTGAGACGGTGACGTAAATGAGTGGGCACTACCTATTTGGTAAGTACAATTAAGGAAGGATTGATCTTCATGAGTGCATATTCTGATAATCTCTCTCCCACGTGCTCTTATCTTTCCGGGCTCCTTGGATCTTGGACTGGGTCGGATCGATAAAGTGGACTTGGGCTGCCTTGGGCCTGGCCCAGTTGGTTTTGGGCTCATCATTTCCTATTAATGTAAATGATACGATGAATATTATATTGAATTTTCTTGTGAAATTTTAGGAATAATTTTTTCTCAAATTGAACCATCGGATGTTCTCTTCCCTCGAAACGGGTTCTCTTCCTTCAATTCTATTTTTCATTTATTTTCAAAATACCTCAAAGTGTGCACGTAACATGCTCTTTGCAAATTTAACCTAAAAGTTATAACATTTGGAACTATGGCCAATTGAGCATTCAAATTTACTTTACATGGTGATTGCTCATAAAAGAGTTTAGATTCTAATGGGGCCAATAAATGAAAATGGTGTGGTCACCAGAGGTGTCAACCCATACCATTTAGATCAACTGGGTGTCACTTATGTAAGATTGCTTCATCAACCATTTTGATAACTTCAAATCTCCCATTAACCCCAGATTCAATGAAAGTAACTCCAATACAGTTGCCTAGAAGAGGTTTGTCAAGCATGGTGTGCAAGGAATTCAACTGACTTGCACTGATAGACCCATATTGTATAGGAAATAGGCGCCTATCTTTTCACTGTAGTCAAATTAATACACCTTCATATTGTCAATTATCCTCTATCCTTTTCAAGAATGCTATTATGATTAGATGATCTTATCCAGTTTCCCGTGCTAGGACGCTGTTATGATCTAAATGGTCTAATTTTGTGTCTCGTGCTAGTAAGCATTACTTGTCTCGTTGATAACTTTAACTCTCCCGGTCACCCCATAAATTATCGTGCTATGATTTTTGCTAATAATTTTTTTATGATGCATTATATTCATATACTAACATCAAGGATAATGAGACAATTCAACATAAAAGGGATGCTCAAAATAGCCCTTGTTGCTAGTAGCCAGGTCGATCACTTGTTTGCTTCAGTGAACAGTACCCAAGCGATAGATCCAAAACTTATTTTATAGTAGGCTATTTGGTTTGTTTTGCTGCTGTTCAACAGTCAGGAAGCTCAGATCCATCCTCGGAATAGTGCTACTAAACTTTCCACATCGTTTTCGATGGAACTAAAAGAAGCAAACAAAGTCCCAGCACAAGTTAAAACAAGGGTTGGGTCATATCTGTATACTCGGGGCAAATCTATAGGCTTCATAAAGTTATTCCCAGCCTTTTATCCCCAGTAATGGGCCCTGCACATGGCCACCCGTGTGCCGGACTAAGGTAGGAAGAGAGTGGGAGAGAGAGAGCCATGGGAGTAAGAAGACAACAAGAGATATAAATTACATGGGCAGTTGATTGCAGCTGATAAAGAGTTATGGTGGTTAAGGTGGGAATAAATAAGGTTACTATAGGTATCTTACATGTGGACACCAAAACCCACCCTCTCCCATTATAATAGTAATAAATTGCTCACAGTTCAAATATGACTTAATTTATTCATACAAAAAAAATATGGCTTAATTCCATACGCACGCAGCATCAATAGAGTTCTNATAGGCTTCATAAAGTTATTCCCAGCCTTTTATCCCCAGTAATGGGCCCTGCACATTGCCACCCGTGTGCCGGACTAAGGTAGGAAGAGAGTGGGAGAGAGAGAGCTATGGGAGTAAGAAGACAACAAGAGATATAAATTACATGGGCAGTTGATTGCAGCTGATAAAGAGTTATGGTGGTTAAGGTGGGAAAAAATAAGGTTACTATAGGAATCTTACATGTGGACACCAAACCCCACCCTCTCCCATTATAATAGTAATAAATTGCTCACAGTTCAAATATGACTTAATTTATTCACACAAAAAAAATATGGCTTAATTCCAGACGCACGCAGCATCAATAGAGTTGTACCCTATTAAACAATCAAGAAACATAGCTAACATGTGATCCATTAAAAAATTCACCCAAGAAAATATTATACCTTCATCTGGTGGAACTCTGCAAGATGCGTCCGATCCACGGCTTCATTTCTGAAAACACAATCTATTGAGTAGAACTTTTTGGGAGCAAAGGGTTTCTACAGAACAAATGATCATATGAATAAAGAAGATGCATGTGAGCATACGCAGAAAGAGACAGAAGTTACAGCTACATGTCAACAAAAGAATGTACCTGTAAATTTATGTGGGTATGTGCAAACACACCCACGCAGACACATGCATATAAAAAAAAAATAATGAAAGCTTTATTGCTATCTGGACCAAAGATGTGTACTCAAAGGATGTGATTCTAAATCACAATTAAAGGCCAGACGGTATGAGTTTCTCAATCTAAAATTAAAAGCATGTGAAGCAATCAAACCTGTGCAAGCAAATACAGCATCCTCGAGGAAACAGCAGTTGTATGAGTTCGCAGAAGGTTTTTGTTTGCTTCTTCCCTTTTCCGGTCATATCCGTATCTATGAAAAGAGGGATCTTGTTTCACCCGTATCCAGTCATAGCCACCTAGACCATCTAGAAAATAAAAGTATATGACAGCATACCCCCTAGACCCATAGCCACCAGACTCATGAACTTGCTTCACCCGTTCAACATAATCTTCAGGCAGCATCTTTGCAGTGGAAGGTTCTACAACGTTCATGAACATATGGGCATCAGGTAAAATCAGCTGCAGCAGATATAGATCTAAAAACCAAGTCAAACAAACCTTGCAAAAAGAATGTGTCATGGGAATCCCTGGCAGGGTGTTGTTGAGGTTGAAAGAGTGCATCAAAATTCCAGAAGCAGCAAATTAAAAAGAAAATGCATTATAAATTACGAGCAACTAAATATTTACTGCCAAAAAAGTACTATGCACATGCATTCAAAACCCCAGAGATCATAGTTAACAAGGGCAAATTATGTCTAAGACTCTTCATTTCCCCTCCATAGAAGCAGAAACACCAAAAAACCTGCATGGCCTCTCTTAGCTATGGTAGATCCAAGCCAATCATAAACCTCTTGGGTATTGTATGGACGCACCTCAAAGTTTGGAATAATTGATGTTGCAATAATTGTGAAAAGCACGTTATATTAGTAATCTAAAACCTCAGGGCCTTATGATTGGACTCTCATTTTTCATCCCAAGATTTAAGCAACAAAAAGGTCTACAAGGGTTTTTTGAATGGTTTTTGGCCCTTTAAAGGAGAAAGGAATTTAAAAGCATTGCTTGATTTATGAAAACTCCAGGTGGCAATTAGACGAAGCTACAATTTCTTCTTTTGCTTGTCAAAAGCTCAACTGACAATTTTGTAAATAGAATACATAAAATGAGAGAGAACAAGACCAGCTACCTGCTTTCAACATAATTGTTAGTTGGCATCTCCTCAAATCTGCAGAGTGAGTGAAAAATATACAATTGAGTGGATCACAGGGACAAAAAAATCCAAACCAACAAATGACTCTTGACATCTATATAACATAATAAAATCAGGTACTTTCAAGAGAAACATAGTAAATCAGGTCAAACCCCATCTGAAGAAAAATCATTTGCACTTGACGTCGCACCTGCAGTGATCAGTGAACAGAAAGTTTAGCAAGAACTTTGCATATCACTAACGGAAATCTTTATGCTCGTTGCAAATATCATGGTTGCTAATGCTAATAGTGAACATTACATGGGTGCTTTTATCATCATTGTAATTATCATAGCTGCTGATGTTAGCCAACGATATAATATTGAACTCCCAATAGAAGAATGATGATTAACTCCACGAACATTTGTATGATACATTCCATAGAACCAGAGTGATCAACTGTCATCTAATGCACAATTTCCAAGAGTCGAAGCCTTGATGTCTCAATGAAATAAACTGACCATTGGCTAAATGGCAATCTAAACATCCTAACCCAGGTGTTCTGCAAATTGGGACTAATAATAATTTGGAATCGCTCATGAATGATAGTTATAAACCCTCAATAGTCTCATAGTACATACAAATAGACATACACTTTGCATTAAAAAAACATAAAAGCATATGACAAATATTGCCAAAACCAAACATATCGACAGTTTTTTTCCAGAAAATAAATAAATTCTTGCCCAATTTGAATCCATCGGCAATTTCGCAACTCTTTACAAATACAAGACTTGTTTGATGTTCACCAAAAAAAAACAAATAAAAATACCAAAGGTACTGAAGAATAATTAAAAGAATATCCTTACCTTGAGCAATGGATGAAGATGACCACCTTCAACAGGCTGACCCTTGGCACTGAAGTTATACTCTTTAAATTCCAGCTCCTTCCAATCACCCCTGAGAAGCAAGAATCCATATAACAATTAGCTCTACAGATTTTTTGTTCCGGAAAAAGATAACATATGAAACCACCTAATGAAGACATCCTTGCCCTTGCTTCAGATAACAGACACCTATACACAACATATTGTAATTAACATTAAGAATAACCAAAGCCAGAAACCATGCCTCCACTAACCAACACTGTAACAGCCAACATCATATCGCTTTCAATCAATATTGCTACAAGTTGGAACGTAAAATCATATTACACTTTTTCTTGGCAGGATAAGTTGGAATGGAAAATAATTACTACATCCAATAACACTTTGGAGCAAGTGAAAGCCCTTTTTTTCACTTTTTCACAAAATGAAGTGCAAAGAGAATAACTAGTACATCATTCTGCTTATTCAGGCAGGTTTAAAAAGTAGAAAATCATGATAAACACAAAAGAATACAATGTCTTGCCTAAAACCTGTAACAACAACATGATTCACAGTTCAGGATAATAGCTTAACTGCGTACTATGTACAGAAAAGTCTGTCATTAAATGTGATGTTGTTTGTATATATGCCTATGATGTATCCAGATACATTTGCAGATAAGGTTATTAAATGCCACTTATTTATCATAGTTTGTACATAAGATACTTTTGTAACAAGAAATACAGGTCAAGTGTCTAAATTACCTTTGCAGATTCTCTCGGGTTAAATCAGTGGCAGCTTTTTTTGGAGCATACTTAGGACCTTTTCTTACTGAGTATCCTTTCCATATCCTAGAAAGTGATACAAAATTGAGATGCAGCCACAAGAAAGCATAAACGTTAGATCACAGCAAAATCAACGACAAATTTTTTCAGATAATGTTTCAGCCAGCTTGTTCATATTCATATTGCTGTAAAAAGTTTCTACGCTTTCCCTCAGATACCTAACACAACCATTCGCCTTTATGCAGGGCTTGGGACCAGCTACATGATACAAAGAGAAACCCCATACAAGCTAATGCAGATGAATAAAAAAACAAGAAGAATATAATTACTGTGGAGTAATAAGCTTCCTTCATTTGAGACCATCAATATCTTCTGGTTCAAGGCCTGGAATCACAACAAAATTTTGTAACAGAAATGGAAGGAGTAAAATAAGCATAAATTTGCTTTCTCGTGGTAAACAAAGTTGAAATTCATCACTGAAGCTCTGAACACAGTCATATACTTAATTAGCTGAAGAAGATGGAAAATCAAAAAGAATACATACCAAACCATTTTGTATCTGTACAAGCAAATCTTTAACTCTGTCATCAGCGTGTTGAACCTACATCAAGTGAACCATGTAAGAAGAAGACAAAAGGAGTCAAATTTAGAAAGCTCCAAAGAATAGAGTAAAAACTTTGAGAAACAGTCTTGAATAATGGAACTACAACTAAATCAGCATCAACATAGAGACAACATTATANAACATAGCTAACATGTGATCCATTAAAAAATTCACCCAAGAAAATATTATACCTTCTATCTGGTGGAACTCTGCAAGATGCGTCTGATCCACGGCTTCATTTCTGAAAACACGATCTATTGAGTAGAACTTTTTGGGAGCAAAGGGTTTCTACAGAACAAATGATCATATGAATAAAGAAGATGCATGTGAGCATACGCAGAAAGAGACAGAAGTTACAGCTACATGTCAACAAAAGAATGTACCTGTAAATTTATGTGGGTATGTGCAAACACACCCACGCAGACACATGCATATAAAAAAAAATAATAATGAAAGCTTTATTGCTATCTGGACCAAAGATGTGTACTCAAAGGATGTGATTCTAAACCACAATTAAAGGCCAGATGNTAAATCCAGAATATCATACGACAAAAGATTTTTCTCGACCAAATCTAATTCAACTAGTCTTTTACACTTTCCAACAGCCTTACCTTCCTGGACACTTGTGACTTTCCCACCTCCACCCATTTGTTCTTTACGGCCTGTTGGCAACCTATTTTGTAAATTGAGGGCTCCAACTTTTTCTGCAACTAGAAATACTGGTTTCATCAGCACTTCTTCCACCAATAAGTAAATAATAAAGAAAAAATCTTCTGTGAACATATATCACCTTTCAGAAGAATAAATATAAAATTTCTAAAANAAGCATGTGAAGCAATCAAACCTGTGCAAGCAAATACAGCATCCTCGAGGAAACAGAAGTTGTATGAGTTCGCAGAAGGTTTTTGTTTGCTTCTTCCCTTTTCCGGTCATATCCGTATCTATGAAAAGAGGGATCTTGTTTCACCCGTATCCAGTCATAGCCACCTAGACCATCTAGAAAATAAAAGTATATGACAGCATACCCCCTAGACCCATAGCCACCAGACTCATGAACTTGCTTCACCCGTTCAACATAATCTTCAGGCAGCATCTTTGCAGTGGAAGGTTCTACAACGTTCATGAACATATGGGCATCAGGTAAAATCAGCTGCAGCAGATATAGATCTAAAAACCAAGTCAAACAAACCTTGCAAAAAGAATGTGTCATGGGAATCCCTGGCAGGGTGTTGTTGAGGTTGAAAGAGTGCATCAAAATTCCAGAAGCAGCAAATTAAAAAGAAAATGCATTATAAATTACGAGCAACTAAATATTTACTGCCAAAAAACTACTATGCACATGCATTCAAAACCCCAGAGATCATAGTTAACAAGGGCAAATTATGTCTAAGACTCTTCATTTCCCCTCCATAGAAGCAGAAACACCAAAAAACCTGCATGGCCTCTCTGAGCTATGGTAGATCCAAGCCAATCATAAACCTCTTGGGTATTGTATGGACGCACCTCAAAGTTTGGAATAATTGATGTTGCAATAATTGTGAAAAGCACGTTATATTAGTAATCTAAAACCTCAGGGCCTTATGATTGGACTCTCATTTTTCATCCCAAGATTTAAGCAACAAAAAGGTCTACAAGGGTTTTTTGTATGGTTTTTGGCCCTTTAAAGGAGAAAGGAATTTAAAAGCATTGCTTGATTTATGAAAACTCCAGGTGGCAATTAGACAAAGCTACAATTTCTTCTTTTGCTTGTCAAAAGCTCAACTGACAATTTTGTAAATAGAATACATAAAATGAGAGAGAACAAGACCAGCTACCTGCTTTCAACATAATTGTTAGTTGGCTTCTCCTCAAATCTGCAGAGTGAGTGAAAAATATACAATTGAGTGGATCACAGGGACAAAAAAATTCAAACCAACAAATGACTCTTGACATCTGTATAACATAATAAAATCAGGTACTTTCAAGAGAAACATAGTAAAATCAGGTCAAACCCCATCTGAAGAAAAATCATTTGCACTTGACGTCGCACCTGCAACAAAAAGAGGTTAGGAAGCAGTGATCAGTGAACAGAAAGTTTAGCAAGAACTTTGCATATCACTAACGGAAATCTTTATGCTCATTGCAAATATCATGGTTGCTAATGCTAATAGTGAACATTACATGGGTGCTTTTATCATCATTGTAATTATCATAGCTGCTGATGTTAGCCAACGATATAATATTGAACTCCAAATAGAAGAATGATGATTAACTCCACGAACATTTGTATGATACATTCCATAGAACCAGAGTGATCAACTGTCATCTAATGCACAATTTCCAAGAGTCGAAGCCTTGATGTCTCAATGAAATAAACTGACCATTGGCTAAATGGCAATCTAAACATCCTAACCCAGGTGTTCTGCAAATTGGGACTAATAATAATTTGGAATCGCTCATGAATGATAGTTATAAACCCTCAATAGTCTCATAGTACATACAAATAGACATACACTTTGCATTAAAAAAACATAAAAGCATATGACAAATATTGCCAAAACCAAACATATCGACAGTTTTTTTCCAGAAAATAAATAAATTCTTGCCCAATTTGAATCCATCGGCAATTTCGCAACTCTTTACAAATACAAGACTTGTTTGATGTTCACCAAAAAAAAACAAATAAAAATACCAAAGGTACTGTAGAATAATTAAAAGAATATCCTTACCTTGAGCAATGGATGAAGATGACCACCTTCAACAGGCTGACCCTTGGCACTGAAGTTATACTCTTTAAATTCCAGCTCCTTCCAATCACCCCTGAGAAGCAAGAATCCATATAACAATTAGCTCTACAGATTTTTTGTTCCGGAAAAAGATAACATATGAAACCACCTAATGAAGACATCCTTGCCCTTGCTTCAGATAACAGACACCTATACACAACATATTGTAATTAACATTAAGAATAACCAAAGCCAGAAACCATGCCTCCACTAACCAACACTGTAACAGCCAACATCATATCGCTTTCAATCAATATTGCTACAAGTTGGAACGTAAAATCATATTACACTTTTTCTTGGCAGGATAAGTTGGAATGGAAAATAATTACTACATCCAATAACACTTTGGAGCAAGTGAAAGCCCTTTTTTTCACTTTTTCACAAAATGAAGTGCAAAGAGAATAACTAGTACATCATTCTGCTTATTCAGGCAGGTTTAAAAAGTAGAAAATCATGATAAACACAAAAGAATACAATGTCTTGCCTAAAACCTGTAACAACAACATGATTCACAGTTCAGGATAATAGCTTAACTGCGTACTATGTACAGAAAAGTCTGTCATTAAATGTGATGTTGTTTGTATATATGCCTATGATGTATCCAGATACATTTGCAGATAAGGTTATTAAATGCCACTTATTTATCATAGTTTGTACATAAGATACTTTTGTAACAAGAAATACAGGTCAAGTGTCTAAATTACCTTTGCAGATTCTCTCGGGTTAAATCAGTGGCAGCTTTTTTTGGAGCATACTTAGGACCTTTTCTTACTGAGTATCCTTTCCATATCCTAGAAAGTGATACAAAATTGAGATGCAGCCACAAGAAAGCATAAACGTTAGATCACAGCAAAATCAACGACAAATTTTTTCAGATAATGTTTCAGCCAGCTTGTTCATATTCATATTGCTGTAAAAAGTTTCTACGCTTTCCCTCAGATACCTAACACAACCATTCGCCTTTATGCAGGGCTTGGGACCAGCTACATGATACAAAGAGAAACCCCATACAAGCTAATGCAGATGAATAAAAAAACAAGAAGAATATAATTACTGTGGAGTAATAAGCTTCCTTCGTTTGAGACCATCAATATCTTCTGGTTCAAGGCCTGGAATCACAACAAAATTTTGTAACAGAAATGGAAGGAGTAAAATAAGCATAAATTTGCTTTCTCGTGGTAAACAAAGTTGAAATTCATCACTGAAGCTCTGAACATAGTCATATACTTAATTAGCTGACGAAGATGGAAAATCAAAAAGAATACATACCAAACCATTTTGTATCTGTACAAGCAAATCTTTAACTCTGTCATCAGCGTGTTGAACCTACATCAAGTGAACCATGTAAGAAGAAGACAAAAGTAGTCAAATTTAGAAAGCTCCAAAGAACAGAGTAAAAACTTTGAGAAACAGTCTTGAATAATGGAACTACAACTAAATCAGCATCAACATAAAGACAACATTAGACTCAGGATAAGAAGCTCTTCAAATTAGCTTGACCCAACCCTTCTGCCTTTTATTCGTTTTTCATAAGAAAAGCAGTTTCAATAAATCCAGAATATCATACGACAAAAGATTTTTCTCGACCAAATCTAATTCAACTAGTCTTTTACACTTTCCAACAGCCTTACCTTCCTGGACACTTGTGACTTTCCCACCTCCACCCATTTGTTCTTTACGGCCTGTTGGCAACCTATTTTGTAAATTGAGGGCTCCAACTTTTTCTGCAACTAGAAATACTGGTTTCATCAGCACTTCTTCCACCAATAAGTAAATAATAAAGAAAAAATCTTCTGTGAACATATATCACCTTTCAGAAGAATAAATATAAAATTTCTAAAACAGAACCCAATCTCTCAGTTGTATTTGGTTGCTTTGAATGGGAGTATGATAATTGGAACGGGAAGCACCTACTCCAATAAAACATAATACAGCTTCAAATATTGTAAAATTCTAATTGAATTAAATATTCCCAAAAATTCACTATCACATCAAGAAGCTTAAGTTGTGAAGAATATTTGACTTCCATATCAAAACCCATTTTGCACAACAAAAATGCAGCTTCTTTGTGGAAATTGGGTAAGAATAAGAAATTCCAGACTAATGCATGCACTTGCCTAAGATATTTTCTGCTACTTCATGCATGAACCCACAATTCCTCAATTGCACAATAATCTAAAACAAGAGGATTCATAACCTGCAACTCTTCTCGTGAGATGCCTTCTGGTGGTATAGCCAACAATAATTGGACTTCGGGAGATCCTCCTGCAGCATATGTTTGAGCACCAATCTCTCCCTCTTAATGTCCTGTATACATTCATAAAAGCACATACCAATATTTACAAAATTTAAACCTGAACCATAAAGAAAAAACCATCAAAGAACAAGAAAGAAATAAGGTCAACATGCACCGAATTCTCGTTACAGTAAACCCAAAACAACAAAAGCTTCATCACAACTATCCGGTACATCATACAGGATTTCCATTCAAAGAGAAACCAATAGAAGATCGCATACTTTTTTCCTAACGCATGTGAAAGAGCAGAAAAGAAAGAAAATATCGAATTTGCTCTGTTATTCCGTCATAAAGATACTCATTTGATTTGTACACCAGCTTTGCATTTGCCCAAGACAGCATTACAATTAAGCACACACCATAGTTTTAACAAGCCAACATTTGAATTCTGATAGTACTAAATCAAGAACTTTGCCAAAATTCAGAAAAATTGGATATATGAATATGTTAAGGTGTGACAAATCAGATAATGTCGGCTCAAGATAATAAAGCACTTCCTCGTTCATCTCCAAACTGGAAGCAATGATTTGAATTCATATATGTACCGGCTAAAAAATTAATAAATTGCTCGTATAGAATCCAACCAGACAGAAGGTTGTTGAATTTCGAGCTAACCACCGTCTTTTCCGAAAAAATTAGCAGATAATAAAGTAGGAAAAGTGTCTGAGAAAACTCAGAGTACAAGAACCTGAGCATCGACGAGTCGGTAGCCATTGAGGCTCTTAATGACATTAACGACATCGTCGTGACTCAGTCCTTGTTCGGCCGCAAACTGACCCGAATCTGCTATTTCCTCGTTCTTCTCAAGGAAACCTAATACGGCTTCTTCCGCCATCCCTCTATATCTCTCTCTCCGCACTCCGAAAAGCAACGGCGACTGTGAAGCCGCCACTCAGAGAAGGTTTTAGGGCTTAACAGACCAACGGACTAATCAACTGGATTTTCCACTTACGTCCCCTGAAGTTCTGCCATATTACACTCATACCCGAAGTGTTTTGGAAAACCCTCGGAGATCCCTCTAAAAACAACTTCAACGCCCTCGCCAACTACCGCCTCTATACCATTTTAGCGAGCAAAATTCCAAACCCCTGGCTCCAATGCCCTAGCTATCCAGCTCGCCAAATAGCTTAGGGTTATTCCTGCTAGCTAAATCTGGTGAGGGCTTAGAAAATCTCCAACCATACTCAGCAAAATAAATATTTAAAATATATTTAATATGGAACTTTAGTTAACTATTTTTTAAAATGCACTCCGCTCTTTATTTTAACTAATTACTTCAACTGACTTTTAATAATATAATTCAAAAATATCACGTGGCGTAACACGTAAGTGTCATAATGATAATGTGTTGTGTCATGTCATCAAATTTTAAATTTTATCAAACAACAGTCACGCAAACTCAGGATCCAAATAACGCATCAGACAACAGTCACGTAAGAAATCACAATAATATTGAAAAGCACGAGGCAATAGGGCAAAAAAATTATCCATGAACCAGTTAAATACATCAATAAATCACCACAATACTCGAAAAATCATATATCAAAAAACAATAAACACAAGCATAGAGCAATATTTTTAGGAATTTCACCTTTCTATCAAACATATTTCATTGAAGTAATTCATCAAACATATTTTGAACAATAAAAAGAAACACATCTCAAAAAATTGAGCAAAAAATGAACAAAAGATGAGAATACCAACTCAATTTAAACCCTTTGTTTAGTTCCCGAAAAAATCAGAGAAGAAGTAAAAAAATAAATTTTCTTTCATTTTTTCTCTACTGCCCGACAACCAAACACCTTATACATACATCATGGAAAGCAAAAAACAAGATTAGAAACCCATCTTTGAAACTTTAATACCTGATCTGCCTAGTATGAAGGAGGAAATGAAAAGGAACCAATTTGTTGTTGTGCAAAAATGGAGGGAAAGGCAGCAACTGGTGAGCTGGTAAGCCCTCACCAGATCTAGCTAGTAGGAATAACCCTCAGCTATCTGGCGAGCTGGATAGCTAGGGGCATTGGAGCTTGGAATTTGGAATTTTGCTCACTAAAACGGTGTAGAGGCAGCAGTTGGCAAAGACGTTGGAGTTGCTCTTACCAGCTCGGCAGTTGAATTATATTATTGAAAATTAGTTAAAGCTAGTTGAAATAATTAGCTGAAATAGAGAGCGTAGTTGAAGTGTATTTTAAAAAGTAGTTAGTTAAAGTAGTGAATTCAATATTTAAATATATTTTGAGTAGCTATTTTGTTGAGTGTGGTTGAAGATGCTCTGAACATTGCTAACGATTCTCTAAATTTACCTGACGATAAATAAAATAGAATATTTCATATAGAAAACAAATACCCAATCCCCTGCCACCGAGCTCGGTGGTTTAGTGGTAAGATAGCGTCATCCTAATAATAATCATCCAAGTTCAATTCACGGAGTAGATTGTTGATTTGTTTTTAGTGATTTAGTGAGATTAAAGTCAAGCTATAACTCTAGTTATCTCTNGTCCTAATAATAATCATCCAAGTTCAATTCACGGAGTAGATTGTTGATTTGTTTTTAGTGATTTAGTGAGATTAAAGTCAAGCTATAACTCTAGAGGACTATTCCAATGGGTTCAAGTTGCCGCGGTCACAAACACAAACAAGTTTCCACGCCGATGATCTCCTCACAACTTTTTTGACAAGGGGGAAAAAAAATACCCACTCCCCTACGAATAAAGTTACAAATTTTACAGACTTTGAGTGGATGCAATAAGCATACAAGTTTTTTCCAAACAATGACAATGCATTATTCAAGCTCATTGTCACACCATTAATTGCTTTAGTTATATAAAAAAAATACAAACTTTGATGCATCAATAAATTTTCCTCTACATCATCATGGTTAAAAACCACCAAAAATAGAGTCTGAGACTACATATATCTTGTCATTCTTAAATCCCACAATGATAANAAAGCAGTTTCAATAAATCCAGAATATCATACGACAAAAGATTTTTCTCGACCAAATCTAATTCAACTAGTCTTTTACACTTTCCAACAGCCTTACCTTCCTGGACACTTGTGACTTTCCCACCTCCACCCATTTGTTCTTTACGGCCTGTTGGCAACCTATTTTGTAAATTGAGGGCTCCAACTTTTTCTGCAACTAGAAATACTGGTTTCATCAGCACTTCTTCCACCAATAAGTAAATAATAAAGAAAAAATCTTCTGTGAACATATATCACCTTTCAGAAGAATAAATATAAAATTTCTAAAACAGAACCCAATCTCTCAGTTGTATTTGGTTGCTTTGAATGGGAGTATGATAATTGGAACGGGAAGCACCTACTCCAATAAAACATAATACAGCTTCAAATATTGTAAAATTCTAATTGAATTAAATATTCCCAAAAATTCACTATCACATCAAGAAGCTTAAGTTGTGAAGAATATTTGACTTCCATATCAAAACCCATTTTGCACAACAAAAATGCAGCTTCTTTGTGGAAATTGGGTAAGAATAAGAAATTCCAGACTAATGCATGCACTTGCCTAAGATATTTTCTGCTACTTCATGCATGAACCCACAATTCCTCAATTGCACAATAATCTAAAACAAGAGGATTCATAACCTGCAACTCTTCTCGTGAGATGCCTTCTGGTGGTATAGCCAACAATAATTGGACTTCGGGAGATCCTCCTGCAGCATATGTTTTCCCCTCATTGGTGGACACCCATCTCTCCCTCTTAATGTCCTGTATACATTCATAAAAGCACATACCAATATTTACAAAATTTAAACCTGAACCATAAAGAAAAAACCATCAAAGAACAAGAAAGAAATAAGGTCAACATGCACCGAATTCTCGTTACAGTAAAACCCAAAACAACAAAAGCTTCATCACAACTATCCGGTACATCATACAGGAATTCCATTCAAAGAGAAACCAATAGAAGATCGCATACTTTTTTCCTAACGTATGTGAAAGAGCAGAAAAGAAAGAAAATATCGAATTTGCTCTGTAATTCCGTCATAAAGATACTCATTTGATTTGTACACCAGCTTTGCATTTGCCCAAGACAGCATTACAATTAAGCACACACCATAGTTTTAACAAAGCCAACATTTGAATTCTGATAGTACTAAATCAAGAACTTGGCCAAAATTCAGAAAAATTGGATATATGAATATATTAAGGTGTGACAAATCAGATAATGTCGGCTCAAGATAATAAAGCACTTCCTCGTTTATCTCCAAACTGGAAGCAATGATTTGAATTCATATATGTACCGGCTAAAAAATTAATAAATTGCTCGTATAGAATCCAACCAGACAGAAGGTTGTTGAATTTCGAGCTAACCACCGTCTTTTCCGAAAAAATTAGCAGATAATAAAGTAGGAAAAGTGTCTGAGAAAACTCAGAGTACAAGAACCTGAGCATCGACGAGTCGGTAGCCATTGAGGCTCTTAATGACATTAACGACATCGTCGTGACTGAGTCCATGTTCGGCCGCAAACTGACCCGAATCTGCTATTTCCTCGTTCTTCTCAAGGAAACCTAATACGGCTTCTTCCGCCATCCCTCTATATCTCTCTCTCCGCACTCCGAAAAGCACCGGCGACTGTGAAGCCGCCACTCAGAGAAGGTTTTAGGGCTTAACAGACCAACGGACTAATCAACTGGATTTTCCACTTACGTCCCCTGAAGTTCTGCCATATTACACTCATACCCGAAGTGTTTTGGAAAACCCTCGGAGATCCCTCTAAAAACAACTTCAACGCCCTCGCCAACTACCGCCTCTATACCATTTTAGCGAGCAAAATTCCAAACCCCCTGGCTCCAATGCCCTAGCTATCCAGCTCGCCAAATAGCTTAGGGTTATTCCTGCTAGCTAAATCTGGTGAGGGCTTAGAAAATCTCCAATCATACTCGGCAAAATAAATATTTAAAATATATTTAATATTGAACTTTAGTTAGCTATTTTTTAAAATACACTCCGCTCTTTATTTTAACTAATTACTTCAACTGACTTTTAATAATATAATTCAAAAATATCACGTGGTGTAACACATAAGCGTCATAATGATGATGTGTTGTGTTATGTCATCAAATTTTAAATTTTATCAAACAACAGTCACGTAAACCCAGGATCTAAATAACGCATCAAACAACAGTCACTCAAGAAATCACAATAATATTGAAAAGCACGAGGCAATAGGGCAAAAAAATTATCCATGAACCAGTTAAATACATCAATAAATCACCACAATACTCGAAAAATCATATATCAAAAAACAATAAACACAAGCATAGAGCAATATTTTTAGGAATTTCACTTTCTATCAAACATATTTCATTGAAGTAATTCATCAAACATATTTTGAACAATAAAAAGAAACACATCTCAAAAAATTGAGCAGAAATGCACTCGATTGAGCAAAAAATTGAGCAGCAACACACCTCAAAAAATTGAGCAAAAAATGAACAGAATATGAGAATGCCAACTCAATTTAAACCCTTTGTTTAGTTCCTGAAAAAATCAGAGAAGAAGTAAAAAAATAAATTTTCTTTCATTTTTTCTCTATTGCCCGACAACCAAACACCTTATACATACATCATGGAAAGCAAAAAAAAAGATTAGAAACCCATCTTTGAAACTTCAATACCTTATCTGCCTAGTATGAAGGAGGAAATGGAAAGGAACCAATTTGTTGTTGTGCAAAAATGGAGGGAAAGGCAGCAACTGGTGAGCTGGTAAGCCCTCACCAGATCTAGCTAGTAGGAATAGCCCTCAGCTATTTGGCGAGCTAGATAGCTAGGGCATTGGAGTTTGGGGTTTGAAATTTTGCTCGCTAAAATGGTGTAGAGGCAACAGTTGGCAAAGGCGTTGGAGTTGCTCTTACCAGCTCGTCAGTTGAATTATATTATTGAAAATTAGTTAAAGTTAGTTGAAGTAATTAGCTGAAATAGAGAGCGTGATTAGAGTGCATTTTAAAAAATAGTTAGCTAAAGTAATGAATTCAATATTTAAATATATTTTGAATAGTTATTTTGCTGAGTGTGATTAGAGATGCTCTAAACATTGCTAGCGATTCTCTAAATTTATCTGACGATAAATAAAATAGTATATTTTATATAGAAAGCAAATACCCAATCCCCTGCCACCGAGCTCGGTGGTTTAGTTGTAAGATAGCGTCGTCCTAATAATAATCATCCAAGTTCAATTCACGGAGTAGATTGTTGATTTGTTTTTAGTGATTTAGTGAGATTAAAGTCAAGCTATAACTCTAGAGGACTATTCCAATGGGTTCAAGTTGCCGCGGTCACAAACACAAACAAGTTTCCACGCCGATGATCTCCTCACAACTTTTTTGACAAGGGGGAAAAAAAATACCCACTCCCCTACGAATAAAGTTACAAATTTTACAGACTTTGAGTGGATGCAATAAGCATACAAGTTTTTTCCAAACAATGACAATGCATTATTCAAGCTCATTGTCACACCATTAATTGCTTTAGTTATATAAAAAAAATACAAACTTTGATGCATCAATAAATTTTCCTCTACATCATGGTTAAAAACCACCAAAAATAGAGTCTGAGACTACATATATCTTGTCATTTTTAAATCCCACAATGATGAGAGACTTCTTTAGAGTGTCCGGCATTAATTACGTTAAGCGATCTCAAATAACCTTCTATATTTCTTTCTTAAGTACTACAATTATAACTGCATTTGCTAAACTTTTCATAGAGTGCATACTAGCTTATGTTGTCGAAATATGATTGAATTACAAAATATGATTCGGCTAGCCAGTTCATTGAGCCAGAAACAATATTGAACAAGTTACTCACCAAATTGATCTCAATCCAAGTTCAAAGGTAGTCAAGAACAGACTGAGCCCTGGTTAAATAATTTTACAAACAAAAACCTTGTTTGTTTCCTGGCATTGTCAGAATGAGTTCATCCTTTACCATGTAGTGAAAAGAGTAATTCAACAAGAAAAATTACAGAATCAACAAAAAAAAATAAAAATAACTTCAGGAATTCTATGACCCATAACCATCTCTCATTATTATCACTGTCTCAGGAGTTGAGAGAATCCAAAGNGGTGGTTTAGTTGTAAGATAGCGTCGTCCTAATAATAATCATCCAAGTTCAATTCACGGAGTAGATTGTTGATTTGTTTTTAGTGATTTAGTGAGATTAAAGTCAAGCTATAACTCTAGAGGACTATTCCAATGGGTTCAAGTTGCCGCGGTCACAAACACAAACAAGTTTCCACGCCGATGATCTCCTCACAACTTTTTTGACAAGGGGGAAAAAAAATACCCACTCCCCTACGAATAAAGTTACAAATTTTACAGACTTTGAGTGGATGCAATAAGCATACAAGTTTTTTCCAAACAATGACAATGCATTATTCAAGCTCATTGTCACACCATTAATTGCTTTAGTTATATAAAAAAAATACAAACTTTGATGCATCAATAAATTTTCCTCTACATCATGGTTAAAAACCACCAAAAATAGAGTCTGAGACTACATATATCTTGTCATTTTTAAATCCCACAATGATGAGAGACTTCTTTAGAGTGTCCGGCATTAATTACGTTAAGCGATCTCAAATAACCTTCTATATTTCTTTCTTAAGTACTACAATTATAACTGCATTTGCTAAACTTTTCATAGAGTGCATACTAGCTTATGTTGTCGAAATATGATTGAATTACAAAATATGATTCGGCTAGCCAGTTCATTGAGCCAGAAACAATATTGAACAAGTTACTCACCAAATTGATCTCAATCCAAGTTCAAAGGTAGTCAAGAACAGACTGAGCCCTGGTTAAATAATTTTACAAACAAAAACCTTGTTTGTTTCCTGGCATTGTCAGAATGAGTTCATCCTTTACCATGTAGTGAAAAGAGTAATTCAACAAGAAAAATTACAGAATCAACAAAAAAAAATAAAAATAACTTCAGGAATTCTATGACCCATAACCATCTCTCATTATTATCACTGTCTCAGGAGTTGAGAGAATCCAAAGACAAAGTAGGCAGGATCTCATGAGGTGAGGAATCAGCGATAGAGGCTTTCAGATCTGAGATTCTCCGCGATTTCAGTTTCCCAACGGTCTCCATTCTCAAGCAGCTTCTCTTTGTCATAAAGAAGCTCCTACAGCAGTGACGCATGTATAAGACACTTAATTTTACAATCAGAGATACCAACTGGTGATTACTAGGAAGTGCCTACTAACCTCATGAGTCTCTGTAGCAAACTCGAAGTTGGGCCCTTCAACGATGGCGTCGACAGGGCATGCTTCTTGGCAAAATCCACAGTAGATGCACTTTGTCATGTCAATGTCATACCTGTGCAATTTGATCCATGAGAGAGAGAGAGAGAAAGAGAAAGAGAAAGAGAAAGACANAGTTATATAAAAAAAATACAAACTTTGATGCATCAATAAATTTTCCTCTACATCATGGTTAAAAACCACCAAAAATAGAGTCTGAGACTACATATATCTTGTCATTTTTAAATCCCACAATGATGAGAGACTTCTTTAGAGTGTCCGGCATTAATTACGTTAAGCGATCTCAAATAACCTTCTATATTTCTTTCTTAAGTACTACAATTATAACTGCATTTGCTAAACTTTTCATAGAGTGCATACTAGCTTATGTTGTCGAAATATGATTGAATTACAAAATATGATTCGGCTAGCCAGTTCATTGAGCCAGAAACAATATTGAACAAGTTACTCACCAAATTGATCTCAATCCAAGTTCAAAGGTAGTCAAGAACAGACTGAGCCCTGGTTAAATAATTTTACAAACAAAAACCTTGTTTGTTTCCTGGCATTGTCAGAATGAGTTCATCCTTTACCATGTAGTGAAAAGAGTAATTCAACAAGAAAAATTACAGAATCAACAAAAAAAAATAAAAATAACTTCAGGAATTCTATGACCCATAACCATCTCTCATTATTATCACTGTCTCAGGAGTTGAGAGAATCCAAAGACAAAGTAGGCAGGATCTCATGAGGTGAGGAATCAGCGATAGAGGCTTTCAGATCTGAGATTCTCCGCGATTTCAGTTTCCCAACGGTCTCCATTCTCAAGCAGCTTCTCTTTGTCATAAAGAAGCTCCTACAGCAGTGACGCATGTATAAGACACTTAATTTTACAATCAGAGATACCAACTGGTGATTACTAGGAAGTGCCTACTAACCTCATGAGTCTCTGTAGCAAACTCGAAGTTGGGCCCTTCAACGATGGCGTCGACAGGGCATGCTTCTTGGCAAAATCCACAGTAGATGCACTTTGTCATGTCAATGTCATACCTGTGCAATTTGATCCATGAGAGAGAGAGAGAGAAAGAGAAAGAGAAAGAGAAAGACAGAGAGAGAGGCAGCAAATCACAGATCCTTTACCTTGTTGTTCTGCGGCTCCCATCTTCTCGTTCCTCAGCTTCAATCGTTATTGCTTGAGCCGGGCATATCTATCACAAGACCAATGCATATTTAAGCACACAGGATGTCAGCCTCAGCAATGTTTGCAGTCTTCTAGTCCATATCAATGAATAAAACAATGAAGAAAAAACTGAATACTGACAGCTTCACATAGTTTGCAGGCAATGCAACGTTCCTCTCCAGTTGGATAACGTCGGAGGGCATGTTCTCCACGAAACCGAGGGCTTAGAGGACCTTTCTCAAATGGATAATTGATCTTCACGACAAAAAATACCATTTAGATTATATTCCACCATAATTAGTTATCTACAAGAACTGCAGAAAGGCACTTACAGTAACTTTCTGCTCAAAGAAGTATTTGAGCGTCAGCATTAGACCCCGAACCATTTCAGTGAGAAACAACGTATTTATACTCTGCTCAAAAACTGCACTAAGCATGCACCAGTAACTCTTAATTGCACGTTATATTTTATGAATCAGAGATGAAATGCAAGAATAGAATCGTATGGTCAATCCTTAAAAAGCATTACCAGAACTCCAATCCTTTGAGATCTCCTTTGCAAGCTTTTCTCTTTCAATATCATCTGTGGTTCATATACAGAGGAAAAATGAACAGGTATCCATGTCTTTTATAGGATCTAGCAATTAATTAGCAACCCACTAACTTACATGCAAAGAAAATGAAACCTGCTTTTACCGCTGATGTTGAAATTTTTTTTGCAAAATAAAGTATTGAGCATAAACTTTAAACATAGTCTGGTTTCAGTTTAAAAATTAGAGCATAAGATTCATACATTACTAAGATCACAATTCTAATTTGGCAAAGGATCCATTGGGATTCAGTGCTAGTGTATCACAAGAGCGGGATAAAATTCGGGGAGGGCCAAGTTTGAAACCTATACAAACGTTGCTATCATTAAATTTGCATCGACTTATTAAGAATAGGCCCTATAATAGAGTCTAAACTGCATAAAGACATGTAACCATAATTAATCCTTTGGTGAACAAACAACAAGCACCCAATCCTTCCATGATCAGCAATACAACCCTCATATCTGCATATATTAATGCAGGTATTGTGTGTATAACTTCAAAACAAGCTTTTGAGAAGAACACAAACCTTTGTCGGTGGAAAATGACTGTTTGGTGGCAAATGGGCGTGCACCATATACACTCGCATAGCAGTTGGGACCCTGGAACGTTTGTCCTGCCACANTATGTCAAATAAACTTAGTTTGTGATAAATTTATTTTTTATCTTACTAATAATTACTTAAATCTACTAATTTTTTAAATTTCAAAAATATCATTAACAGTGTTATTGTATTCAATTATAGAAACTTTAAAGACTTTAAAAATAACTTTAAATTAATTTCTTAAATTATAAATTATTATCACTTAATTTACTCATAAATTAAAATTGAAATTTATATTATTTCTCTCTGTCTTGCATTAAAGGAAGATTCTCTCATTCAATAACAAATGTAAACCTTTACAATAACAATTACAAACTGTAATGTAATATCTATTTTTTTATTCACAGTAACATCAATTTCTTATGTACAGTAACATCAATTAAATATTTTTTCCTTCACAATAACAATAAATTTTCCTTACTTTTCACAAAATACGGTCCACAAATAGAAAAATTACATTATTTAGAATAGTAACACATAATCGTCAGTTGAATTAGGATATTTATCAATATTTATAAACGTCAAGACACCGAATATGTAAAAATGATAGTCATTTTCCCTCATAGTAACATCAATTTTTTTTCCCACAAGTAACACAATCAAGTATTTTTTGATTGTATTGCACAAAAAAAGATCCAAACAATCGAAATCTATATCATTTAATTTAGTACCAATGAATCGCATTTTGATTTTTAGTTTTATTTCATTTCTGAAAGGAATTGATAGTTTGATAAAATTGAAAAAAAACAGATTTTATAATAAATAAATTTTCTTGACAGACTTAAGTCCAAACCAATACATATAGGGGGAATCGGCCTCCAAATTTCTCATATATCAATTTATATCTAACTAATTGGATTCAAATCGGGTTGANAGAGAGAGAGGCAGCAAATCACAGATCCTTTACCTTGTTGTTCTGCGGCTCCCATCTTCTCGTTCCTCAGCTTCAATCGTTATTGCTTGAGCCGGGCATATCTATCACAAGACCAATGCATATTTAAGCACACAGGATGTCAGCCTCAGCAATGTTTGCAGTCTTCTAGTCCATATCAATGAATAAAACAATGAAGAAAAAACTGAATACTGACAGCTTCACATAGTTTGCAGGCAATGCAACGTTCCTCTCCAGTTGGATAACGTCGGAGGGCATGTTCTCCACGAAACCGAGGGCTTAGAGGACCTTTCTCAAATGGATAATTGATCTTCACGACAAAAAATACCATTTAGATTATATTCCACCATAATTAGTTATCTACAAGAACTGCAGAAAGGCACTTACAGTAACTTTCTGCTCAAAGAAGTATTTGAGCGTCAGCATTAGACCCCGAACCATTTCAGTGAGAAACAACGTATTTATACTCTGCTCAAAAACTGCACTAAGCATGCACCAGTAACTCTTAATTGCACGTTATATTTTATGAATCAGAGATGAAATGCAAGAATAGAATCGTATGGTCAATCCTTTAAAAGCATTACCAGAACTCCAATCCTTTGAGATCTCCTTTGCAAGCTTTTCTCTTTCAATATCATCTGTGGTTCATATACAGAGGAAAAATGAACAAGCAGCAGGTCTCTGCTAAGAAATTAAAATACCCTTNGCAAGCTTTTCTCTTTCAATATCATCTGTGGTTCATATACAGAGGAAAAATGAACAGGTATCCATGTCTTTTATAGGATCTAGCAATTAATTAGCAACCCACTAACTTACATGCAAAGAAAATGAAACCTGCTTTTACCGCTGATGTTGAAATTTTTTTTGCAAAATAAAGTATTGAGCATAAACTTTAAACATAGTCTGGTTTCAGTTTAAAAATTAGAGCATAAGATTCATACATTACTAAGATCACAATTCTAATTTGGCAAAGGATCCATTGGGATTCAGTGCTAGTGTATCACAAGAGCGGGATAAAATTCGGGGAGGGCCAAGTTTGAAACCTATACAAACGTTGCTATCATTAAATTTGCATCGACTTATTAAGAATAGGCCCTATAATAGAGTCTAAACTGCATAAAGACATGTAACCATAATTAATCCTTTGGTGAACAAACAACAAGCACCCAATCCTTCCATGATCAGCAATACAACCCTCATATCTGCATATATTAATGCAGGTATTGTGTGTATAACTTCAAAACAAGCTTTTGAGAAGAACACAAACCTTTGTCGGTGGAAAATGACTGTTTGGTGGCAAATGGGCGTGCACCATATACACTCGCATAGCAGTTGGGACCCTGGAACGTTTGTCCTGCCACAGCCTAGATTGATTTGAAGGGGAAAAAAATGTTTAGCAACCCCAGTCTTACGAACAAAGGTAAGCAAACAGGAAGAAATTTATTTTCTAAGTCCCTCATCTGATATAAGTGGTGATGGTGATATTATGCTAATAGAAATAGGAACAATAATGATAAATATGCATGAGAATCATGACAGATAATGTATTGAACCAATAACAGATAATGTATCGAACCAATCAACAACAATAACCATATTGTAGGTGGGACAAAAGGTGATAGAGTCATCTATAAATAGGGATCTCCAACCTGATTGAGATTGAGCCTCAGAGCTCCAACAAAGAAGAGCCACAAGCTCCAACAAAGAGAAAATACTTAACCCCCAATGTGGAAAAAATAGAGTGTAATCGTTATATCATGTCAGCCATGTCACGTGGTGCAACAGTCCACTAATAGATAAACAAGTTAGCAAATGGATCACACAAACTCATAACCACCCAACCAAGTAATACATAACCACCTCCATAATAGGAAGTGGGTCATATTTTATCATTTTTCCACTTCTTATTGGATGGTTAACCAGGTGCAACGGTTAAATCCAATATTTACTCCCCAATGTGGCAAGTTGAGCAGCCACAACAGTGGCGAAATGAAGTAAGATGAGTACTGAGTACTGCAAATGCAGTGAACTATACAGAGATAATTTGCAAATTATCAAGTACTTCAGCCAGTCAATTGCATGGAGAAAATATGATATGTTGTGAATATAAGTTGCGGATTTCGTTAGATAAAGAATTTTCAAATCGTAATCATAGCCGCACCCTGTGGGCATAAATCATCCATACCTAACATCGGGTACGCCCTCAACCATTTTGACCACTGTTCTACACCTTTTGAATCGACAGTAAGTGCATATACAATGGCATCAAATAAAACTGCCCAAAGAATCTACAAATTGCGAGAACTGATTCATTCTATGGATGAACGAGGTAATTCGCAAATCGCAATCCAGGAACCATATCAAAACATCTAGCTCCTTATGTAATAATAGTGGCTCATCAAAATCGAGCTGTTCACAAGAATCTAACATTAATACTGTTTGAAACCCTATAAACTAAATCTAAAGATGAGTGATTTATCACTCCAATTTCTCAAAGTTCCAGTCAAAATCCCTAAGTTAGGGTTTCCACCAGGTACTGACTTTTGGTAACATTCAATAAGCAATTGAAGGATTCTAAAAAAACTGGATTAAGATTGCATACGTGTGAATAGCTACAAACATACAGTGATAGATATAAACGATAAAGATAGAAGGGGGCTTACAAGCTGACGAGAGCGAAAAGCGGCGAGAGACTTGCGAGCTAAGATTGCAGCCATTTTCAAATGACGATTGAAATTCTATGGAGGATTAGTGTTTTTGTGTTCCTCTCTGCAAATCGCGAGAGATTTGGAACTGTTAGAGAGAGAGAGAGAGTGCCGAGGGGATTCGTTTGGGGACGGGACTACAGTAATGTGTTAAGACGCTGCGTTTTGGGGCACTTGAACGAAAACGATGCGTTTTGGAGAGTAGTTGATTGGCTTGCTAGGCTCAATTTTTTTTGTTGGCAATAAACATTCCCACGTTAATGGTTTTAAAAGAAAAGTTGAGACCGTTGAGTGAGTCTATTTTAAACAATCAGATAAATTTATTTAAATCTGTTCTGATTTATATTATAGATAGATAATATCTCGTGCATGGATATACTGTACAATAATAATAAAAAAAATGAGCATTGATTGTGTAATTTTAAAATTTTAAAAAAATNTTTTAAACAATCAGATAAATTTATTTAAATCTGTTCTGATTTATATTATAGATAGACAATATCTCGTGCATGAATATATTGTACAATAATAATAAAAAAAATGAGCATTGATTGTGTAATTTTAAAATTTTAAAAAAATTTATTTATTGTTTTTCTTTTCTTTTATTTAAGAAAAAGGTAAAAGAAAGAGAATATATAAGTAGTGTAAATTATTGGGGTTATTTAACATTGAAGATTGTGTAGAGAAAATAATTTTTTGAGTGTGGAAAAAAATTTGAGATAAATTTTATATCATTTAATTAAAAGAGATTAAAATTAGATTAATCTTGATCAATCATCAATTTTGTGTTTTTATAAGTTAAAAATTCAATTCTTAACTGTACTAGTAGATAGATATTATAAGAGTGTCTCTAACATTATTCTTTATTTTAAAAAATATTTTTAAAATAAATAGTAAATCTTTATACACAATGCTAATAGTATTCTCGGTATTGAAAAAGGTGTGTGTGTCATTTTTTTATTTAATGTAAATAGTAAATTTGGGGCTCGACTATGGGACTGAATAGTAATTTTTTGGTATCATAGTGCTATCTATATAAATTTGACTCTTAAAATGTAAATAATTAAGTTAAAACCTCTTATTTAACTTTTACAAATAAATAGTTTATTGAAGTTGAATTTATGGTGGTTGGTTTTTTAAAATAAAAAAAATAAGTAAGAATAAAAAACTTTTTAGACTATCTAAATCCGTAAAATATAAAATACTGGATTTGAATTTGGATTCAAATAATCAATAAAAAAAATATCAAGTGAAATTTGGGATTGAGTCTTCCTAAATGGACTTATAATGACTTGAGTATGTCAAATAAACTTAGTTTGTGATAAATTTATTTTTTATCTTACTAATAATTACTTAAATCTACTAATTTTTTAAATTTCAAAAATATCATTAACAGTGTTATTGTGTTCAATTATAGAAACTTTAAAGACTTTAAAAATAACTTTAAATTAATTTCTTAAATTATAAATTATTATCACTTAATTTACTCATAAATTGAAATTGAAATTTATATTATTTCTCTCTATCTCGCGTTAAAGGAAGATTCTCTCATTCAATAACAAATGTAAACCTTTACAATAACAATTACAAACTGTAATGTAATATCTATTTTTTTCTTCACAGTAACATCAATTTCTTATGTACAGTAACATCAATTAAATATTTTTTCCTTCACAATAACAATAAATTTTCCTTACTTTTCACAAAATACGGTCCACAAATAGAAAAATTACATTATTTAGAATAGTAACACATAATCGTCAGTTGAATTAGGATACTCATCAATACTTATAAACGTCAAGACATCGAATATGTAAAAATGATATTCATTTTCCCTCATAGTAACATCAATTTTTTTTCCCACAAGTAACACAATCAAGTATTTTTTGATTGTATTGCACAAAAAAAGATCCAAACAATCGAAATCTATATCATTTAATTTAGTACCAATGAATCGCATTTTAATTTTTAGTTTTATTTCATTTCTGAAAGGAATTGATAGTTTAATAAAATTGAAAAAAAACAGACTTTATAATAAATAAATTTTCTTGACAGACATAAGTCCAAACCAATACATATAGGGGGAATCGGCATCCAAATTTCTCATATATCAATTTATATCTAACTAATTGGATTCAAATCAGGTTGAGTTCAGGTTAAAATTCAATCCATTGACATGCTCAGATGTAATGGTCATTTTGTCGGGGCAACGCAGGCAATTTCCAATACCTGAGGCCATGCAACTGAATTACAGACAAACTTTGAGGTAGGTAATTATAATTTACCATGAATTATTTGAATTCAGTTCTGACATTACCCACCGGGGGGGTGTGGAGGGTGACTCACATGGTGGGGTATTAGTTTGGCTCACCTGACGCTCCTTCGTGAATACAATATCCAACAGTTACAGTCCTAGGAATCAATACAATGTTTAATGCTCACAAATTTTTGAATTTTACCATAGATGTTTTTTTTTCCCCGGGACGCAACCATAAAAAACAATATAAAAACACCTCATGTGTCACTATATTTACAGAAAAGCCCTGCCTAGGGCAAGGTTGTTCAAAGTATTTAAGAATGAGGTTGGACTCAATTAACATTGTAAGGTCTCCTTGGAATACGGCGATTAATATTGGAGTTCGAGGGAGTAGTTGATATCAAAATGAATACTAGGTAACGAAAAAGAAGAAGATATTTTAGTATCGATTATAAAATGTCAGTTAACATCCAAGTATAAGTTAAATATTACTCTTTTCGTTCTTAAATATCTGTCGTTTTACACAATTTTTTTTGTTTCATAATATCTATCGTTTAATGAAATCAAAACATAATTAATATTGTTTCTTCCAAATTTACCCTTAATTTTTTAATGCATTAGATTAGGTGGAGGTTAAGTACTTTTTATATTCTTTTTCTTTTCAATACGTATTGAATAAGGGTATTTTAGTATTATATAATTATTTTTTACCCNGTGGAGGTTAAGTACCTTTCATATTCTTTTTCTTCTCAATACGTATTGAATAAGGGTATTTTAGTATTATGTAATTATTTTTTATTCATATTAGAGCTATTTAATAGCTCCCTTAATCCCTATGCAAAAATCTTAAACGACAGATATTTAGGAACGAATGAAGTATATAATAGATGGTATTAAATGAGGTATAACTAGTATTTATATCCAAAGTAATAGTGTGTTAGCTAAAGGTTTATGCATTTCTTTTTTGGTTCAAAATAATAGGTGGTATTAAATGAGGTATAATTAATATTTATATCCAAAGTAATAGTGTGTTAGCTAAAGGTTTATGCATTGATACAAGGTACTTTGAATGTGTTTGCTTTAAGTATTAGGAGTAGTAAATAGAGATTGAAAAAGAAAATGTTGGGTCCACTTTATCTCTCATATACCCATATTTTTTTGGATTTGGTATTATCACCTAAAAATAATATCAGCTCGGATAAATAGTGTATTTAATATTACATACAACCTCTTAAATAAACTCATCTTTTTTGTGGATTTAAATATTCCAATTGAGATGTATTTGACCAAAATACATTTTTACTCTCAAGTATTTCTATGATATAAATATCACTCTTTATCCCGAAGATTTTTTAGTAATTTAATTTTTATACTATCATTCAATACTTTATCTAAACAAAGTATTGGATAAAATAAATGTGAGATTTATTACTTCTTAATACATAAACCAAATATGAGATAAAGAGACATTATCACTATAATTAGTCTAAAGGTCGGATGAATAGATAAGGAATTGACGATATTATGTAATCCAGTCATTCCTAATGCTCAAATTAAATAAACCTTTTGTCCTTTTGTCTTTTTTAACTTAATACTATACATTAATTTTTCATCCAAACATGAGATTGCTATTACAATAATGAGATCACAATTTATTTAAACCTTGATTCAAACATTATTTAATTGGGATAATATAAAGCAGTTGATCAATTATTGCTAACACTACGTATTGAAATTGAATAAATTATTCAATCTCATCTCAAGCTATACTTAAATCAAACGTGCCCTTATATTTGGGGTCTAAGTATCCCAATATCAAATTTGGCATAAAGTGGTGGGTTATTCATCTCACTAATATTATGTTTAGTACGATGAAAAAATAGAAGGAAGAAAAGTTAAAAAGATGGAAAGTTAGAGAGATAAATAAAACATTATTTTTGGTAAAAAAAAAGAAAATAGGAATGATGGAAAAGTGAATGGATTAACTTTCTTTCCAACTCATCAAAATTAATCCCTCCAAAATCAAAAGGAAAGTGGATGAAAAATTAATTATTTGTGTTGAGATGTATCTTATTTATCTATATATCTTTAATATATACATATATTATGTATATATTAATTTCATATAAAAATATAATGATAAAATATGTATTTATGTATATATTTTAAAAAAAAATAAAAAATAAAATAGAATATTAGCGTTAAATTTTTTATTCAAAATTTATGTGAGCCAACACGAATACGAACACGACATGAAAATAAACAAGTCAACTCGCAACTTGACACGACACAATTAGTTAAATGAGTTGAGTTAAGTTTGATTAATGTTCGACACAAACTCGTAATGAATCAACACAAATCTGACACGACACGACACGACTCGATTGTCACCCCTAATTTTAACCACCACAAAAAAAAAATAAAAAAATAGTCATTTTTATTTTCTATTCATTCAACCAAACACAAAGAAAAAAAGGTGTATCATTTTTATTTTCTTTCATTGGAGGATAGCAAGTGTATGCTTCCTATTTTTCATCATTCCTACCAAACGGAGCATAAAAAAAAATTAAGAAACCTCTTAGAAGTATGTGACAAACCATTTTTACCACATTTGATAAAACTCATTATTAATAAACTCGTTACCACATCCAAATTGATGCAAGTATCTTGCCTTTTTGTGTGTGTGTGCGTGTGTGTATGTTTTAGATATCTTTAAACTTAGGGATTATTAGATCGGTGGTTCAGTGACTTACGGCGTCTGTTTAGGGCCCTCTTCGACTTTCACTAGGTTACTAATCACAGTCCGATTCTTGGGGACTTATGCTGCTCCCATTTTGTAGTTATGTGGTGCGGAGATTAGACTATGACTTGAGACGGCTTTTGAGAGAATTTGTGATTTTTCTCAGCTTAGGCTCTATTGGTGGTAGATTTTTCTCATGGGTTCAAATTACTATAATCACGCCCAAATAAGAATTCCACCCCCGATTATCTCCTCTACCCCTTTTTCATTTTTTTTTTTTAAAAAAAAACGAATTTGGCGTAAGTTGGGTATTGAAAGGAAAAAAGTAACCGCAAATGCCCTATGAAAACAATTAGGTACGGGCTATAACTCCATACATCTTAAATTCAAAAACTTGACAATTTCTTCGAAGTAGATCATAAGAGATTTATTTTTTTTGAATACCTTAAGCTTGGCGTGAATGATTTACCTTTGACCCGAACTAGGGAGTGAATTAATTGAGGTACACATAAATTGGTTCGGACACCCTACATCATCAAAAAAAAAGTAAGCTAGCATACTATACGTTAGAAAATATGTGAACTCAATGACATTTATTTTGAATCATGGGCAAAATAAAAATTCCAACAACGAATGACCCGTTAATTTCGTTGTATTCACAACAAAAGTTTACTATTAAAAGAAATTGAAGAAGGATGGTCTAAATTCGAAGTAAATATTGAGTATAACGTGCATACTGTATCAGCATTGTCACATAATATAATCGTACAATAATAAACAAATAAATAAATAAGTGAACCCCATTTTTAAATATGTGACGGTTGTTATCTTAAATTGATAAATGGTCATTTGACGGACGTTTATTTTACCTCATTATTAAGCTATTATTTAATAATGGTTATACGTGACAACACTGACATATTATAACCCTTTCACCCCATATTTATCCCTAAATTGGGTACATGACAATGCATTAGGTGGTGAGTTAAATTAGAATATCCAACCGTTGAAGACAACCGACAAGTTAGATGCTTAAAATGTGGGACAAATCCTTGAGGTAGAGTGTGTAATAAGTGAAAGTAACATTGGGCATCACAAGTTTTGGTAAATTGTAACTTGTAAAGCAATTCTTTTATCTTTTGTTTGTTTGTTTATGGTCAAAAGGCGTCTGAGTCAACTTACACATACCTCAATTAATCACCTTTTTCAATTTAATTTAAGATAAGTCATCTACGACACGATTAAGGCATTCATAAAGGATAAGTTCGTGATGGTCTAATCTTAAAGAATTATTAAAATTTGATCTTAAGATATCTGAATTTATACTTTATCTCTATTGATAAAAACAATTTCAATGATTTGTCTAATGAGCTTAACACCTCATTGAGTTTCTTAATTTCAAATCAATTTCAAGACCGTTGGACTTATCTAATTATTGTGGTTTGATCAACATCCGAAATGTCGTTGTGCACAAACAGGCTTAGATTTAACACGCTAACTTAACACAAATTATTTAGTATTTAACCCGAGATAACCTATTTATTACGTGTGTGTCAGAGTATTTTCAGTAGTGCTCTCTAGTTCAAAAAAATAAAGAATATATTTGATAAAATTTTAAAATAAAAATTAAAATACATAATTTATTGACTTAATTTGTTGACTTAATTCACTATGATTTTTGGATTGACTATAGATTCCATCAAACATTAGAACTTGGTGTTGATCAAATTCTTCCACTCAAACTACATCATTATTTTTAGCAAATTAGATAAGATTTTTTTGTTCATATAAGATTATTCTATTACAAATAGTTTTTAAAATAATTAACATTTAACAAAGCAAAAAGATGTATATTCCCATTTTTTTTTTTGAAAAATTATCAAAAATAAATTATGTTCGACTTTGTAAATATAGGGAGTCAAATTTGGTTCTATATTCCGAGTAGTCATACTACCCTTATGAAATTTTTTGTGCCAAAAATTGATTTAATAGTCGTTATTCTCGTCATTAAACCTTAAGGTCGTGAATTCAAACATCGTTATCCCTCTTCTCTATAATAATGTCTGACCTAGAAAAAAAAAANTCCCTAAATTGGGTACATGACAATGCATTAGGTGGTGAGTTAAATTAGAATATCCAACCGTTGAAGACAACCGACAAGTTGGATGCTTAAAATGTGGGACAAATCCTTGAGGTAGAGTGTGTAATAAGTGAAAGTAACATTGGGCATCACAAGTTTTGGTAAATTGTAACTTGTAAAGCAATTCTTTTATCTTTTGTTTGTTTGTTTATGGTCAAAAGGCGTCTGAGTCAACTTACACATACCTCAATTAATCACATTTTTTAATTTAATTAAGATAAGTCATCTACGACACGATTAAGACATTCATAAAGGATAAGTTCGTGATGGTCTAATTTTAAAGAATTATCAAAATTTGATCTTAAGATATCTGAATTTATACTTTATCTCTGTTGATAAAAACAATTTCAATGATTTGTCTAATGAGCTTAACACCTCATTGAGTTTCTTAATTTCAAATCAATTTCAAGACCGTTGGACTTATCTAATTATTGTGGTTTGATCAACATCCGAAATGTCGTTGTGCACAAACAGGCTTAGATTTAACACGCTAACTTAACACAAATTATTTAGTATTTAACCCGAGATAACCTATTTATTACGTGCATGTCAGAGTATTTTCAGTAGTGCTCTCTAGTTCAAAAAAATAAAGAATATATTTGATAAAATTTTAAAATAAAAATTAAAATACATAATTTATTGACTTAATTTGTTGACTTAATTCACTATGACTTTTGGATTGACTATAGATTCCATCAAACATTAGAACTTGGTGTTGATCAAATTCTTCCACTCAAACTACATCATTATTTTTAGCAAATTAGATAAGATTTTTTTGTTCATATAAGATTATTCTATTACAAATAGTTTTTAAAATAATTAACATTTAACAAAGCAAAAAGATGTATATTCCCATTTTTTTTTTTGAAAAATTATCAAAAAAAAATTATGTTCGACTTTGTAAATATAGGGAGTCAAATTTGATTCTATATTCCGAGTAGTCATACTACCCTTATGAAATTTTTTGTGCCAAAAATTGATTTAATAGTCGTTATTCTCGTCATTAAACCTTAAGGTCGTGAATTCAAACATCGTTATCCCTCTTCTCTATAATAATGTCTGACCTAGAAAAAAAAAACTTCCAACCCTGTATTGGTATTGTTCGAAAATGGTAGGATGAATTATGTACTAAACATAATCCAATGAAAAGAGACATTGGGGGAAATTATATGATACAATTAATTTTGGGGATGACTTGAGTGAATAGGATAGGATAGAATAGTATTCAATTACCCTAATAGTGTGTTCTAAGTTTTTAATTCCCCTTGCCAACCCTATGGTTCAATCTTTTGCTTAAATTACGAAAGTGACCATTCGATAAAGAAATTGTTTTGTTAATCGATCTGTAAATGATATAATCGATCATGAATTTAATAATTTTTAAAGTTATTAATTGTGGATGACAATGATGGTCATGAGTTATCCTAAGTAATTATAAATTTATTTTTAAAATAAAAAATAAAATTATAATTACAAAAAGCGTACAAAATTTCATGCCAACGTGGCAGAATCTCACATGTGTACAAGCGCACGCGCACCGACGATCCCAATGTACAAATACAGAGCAGGCTATTTCCGTCATTTAACTCACACTAATCCCAAACGGTTTAGTTGACTATTTCTCTCTCCTTCGTCCATACTACGCAGTGGCCTTCTCGTAAATACTTTCAAACTCCTAGCCCCTAAGTAACAACTCATCCTCCTCCCCTCTCTCTCTCTTTCTCTCTCCTCCTGCCTTTTACACTTTCATTCCCTTCGAAGCAGCACTCTCATGGCAAAACCCTCCAATTCTTCGCTTTTCCTCATTGCCGAGATTGTACATTAAGATTCCACCAACCTCTCTCTCTCGTACAAAAATGCATATTCTATAGTTTACGAGCCACACTCCACCAACTCTTTCTCACCTAGCCGGAGAAAAATGGAGGTTTCCGGCAAAACAACCGGTGAGAACCAAAGCTCCGGCAACTCTCAATCATCCTTCTCTTTCGCCGCCAAAACGCCAATTCTGGGACTAAAGCTCTACGTTGTGATTGGAGTAACGATTATAATCGTGATCGCAATTTTTGTTCTGATTTTTCTATATATTCGTTTGAGGAGAAGCTCGAAACGGCGTCTCATTGGCGTAAAGCACAGTTCAAGTTTGTTACCTTTGGTTTTCAAAGAGATCACAGAAATGAGAGAGTCGGACCAACGGGAAAATTCTGAAGTTGTTGGTTTTGGGAAGGACGAGAAAGAGAACAAAGCAATGCTGATTAAAGATGTAGAAAAGGGCATTGATGATAAAAGAGGTAGTTCTGAGTCAAGTACAAGCCGGAGCGAGTCATCGTCGGTATCGATGGAAGGTCTGAATGTTGGGTGGGGCCGATGGTACAGCTTGACGGAGCTGGAAATGGCGACCAATGCATTTTCAGATGAGAATGTGATTGGTGAAGGAGGTTATGGTGTTGTGTACAAAGGAGTTTTGCAGGATGGGTCTGTGATTGCTGTGAAGAGTCTCTTGAACAACAAGTAAGTCTCATTTTTTTTTAATACAATTTACAATCCGTGTAGTTCAGTTTAACTTTGATCATCTTATTTTGTTGTTTGCTTAATTTAGTTTTTGATGGAGTGAGTATCGGAGCTGCTTAGATCTAGATTGCATTAACTCTGCTGGTTACTAACTTTTCTTTTTGACTGGGTATTAAATCAAAAGGAAGTAAACGGATTGCTTTGTTCTTTATTCCTTTTTGTTTGTTTTCTCCTTATTTCTTTAATTCTTTTCCTCCTCACAACTTGTTTTCAAAATTTCATCTCCAATACTGTTCTGCCGTGGAATTTGTTCAACTTTTTTCCTTTAATTTTTTCCCTTTTTATTTTTTCATCCTATTCTTTCCTTTCTTTTTCTTTTCTTTTGTTTTTTCTTTTTTTCCCTCCTTCATTTTTGTTGTATAGGCCTCAGGGCAAGTGTGACTTCCATTCCTCACTTTTCTATTTGTCTTTGAACACACAGCAAAGCAACACAAGCATAGCTTAGAGGGCTAAACTCACTTGCCAATATGCCAACTTTTGATGTACAAAACTGTTAATTTCTGTGGAACTGAAAATAGATTCTAGGATTGGGATCGGGAATAGAATTCTTACTTCAATTAAGACCTTACACAAATTGGGTGAGATAGAATGATTGCCCTTCCTTCTTGCACTACTTTTAATTTATAAAAGCTTTCGTTGTTGCTGCTCAAAAAAAAAAAAAGAATTGCTCTGCATTTTGGCTACTTGCCTTCCATTTATAGTGAGATTGCAAGTTTCCTAATCTCTAACTATGTTAAGAATGCTTACCAAAAAAAGAACTATGTGAAGTACTGAAAGTGAAAACTAAAAGGTGTATTACTCTGCAAACTGTTGAATTATTGGATTCCCATGTATTGCTCCCATGGAATTAAGGAATAAGGTTGCCAGTTGGTGCAAATTCACAAAAGTTCCTGGTATCAGTTGATGAAGCTACTGGTTGTCGAAATTCAGTGCCTTCAAGGGTCAGTACTGTAGTTTCACATTCTTACTACGGAAAAGGTCAATTTCATATTCTGGAAATAGTCTCTAAGTTTGATAAATGTTTGAGATATCCTTAATGTTTCTTTACACCAGGAATAGTAGTGGTTTTAAATGCATAAATGATATGCTTTACCTAAACTTTCTTGACAAGGATCAATAGAATCTTGTGAACTAATGGAATTAATGTTTTACTGAACAACTTTCTTCTACCTCACAAAATTTTGATTTATTCTATGCACTGTGATCGTCCTGTTTGTAGAGGTCAAGCAGAGAAGGAGTTCAAGGTAGAAGTTGAAGCCATTGGAAAAGTAAGGCATAAGAACCTGGTGGGTTTGATTGGTTATTGTGCAGAAGGTGCTCGAAGGTACTTTCCCTTTAGCATATTGACTTCATTATCAAAGGGTCCGTTTTACTTTCTCTGTATAACTGTCACTACTTCTACAACCAATTCAGGTTGCTTGTGTATGAGTACATGGATAATGGTAATTTGGAGCAATGGTTACATGGAGATGTTGGCCCTGTTAGCCCTTTAACCTGGGAAATTCGAATGAGGATCGCCGTTGGAACAGCGAAAGGGTGAGACATCATTTTCTCTTTATTAACATGTATTGTATAAGAAATATTTGATGAAACAACTCTGTCATTACAATTACAAACGTGGCTGTTTAAAATGCAAAACCATCATCTAGCTTCAATTCATCAAATCATATTTAGACTTTCGTAAAGGTACTATTTACTATTTCGTTTTGAATATAAGATCCTTCCATTTGTTTACGTCCCCATCTTTTTGTTTTTAAATGCTATGTAAGTCATGATGGAGCAATTGGTTGTCCACGTAGACAACCAAATGCACCCTTAGAACACTCTTTTCTAAGTTTGATGTTCATTTTTTCTGTAGTTCTTCTGTTCATGTTGCTTTTTGCGTTGCCTTCTGTTTTATAAACTGGTATATATCCTGATTGTGTCACAGACTGGCCTATTTGCATGAAGGATTAGAACCCAAAGTTGTGCACCGCGATGTCAAATCCAGCAACATTCTTCTGGATAGGAAATGGAGCCCAAAAGTATCAGATTTTGGACTTGCCAAGTTATTAGGGTCTGAGAAAAGCTATGTGACTACGCGAGTGATGGGGACATTTGGGTTTGTTCTTTCTCTAATTACTTAGTTTACCTTTGAACACATGGTTAAACTTAGAACAGGATGACAAATTTCTTCATATGTAACTGCAGGTACGTCTCACCCGACTATGCAAGTACGGGTATGCTTAATGAGGGAAGTGATGTATATAGTTTTGGAGTTCTTCTTATGGAAATAATTACAGGAAGGAGCCCAGTTGATTATTCCAGGGCACCTGGAGAGGTGAATACATGTTCTCTTTCTCAATCCCTATTGTAGATACATGCTCATTGATTGCACTAATCATAATTACTCTCTTTTTATTGGCCAAATCTCAGATGAACTTGGTTGATTGGTTTAAAGGAATGGTAGCAAGTCGTCGCGGGGAAGACTTGATAGACCCTCTGATTGCAGTACATCCTTCGCCAAGATCTTTGAAGCGCTCATTGCTGGTTTGCCTGCGCTGTATAGATTTGGATGCCAATAAACGTCCAAAAATGGGGCAAATCGTACATATGCTTGAGGCAGATGAATTTCCTTACCGTTCTGTAAGCCCTTTTCCATGCAATTCATTCACACAATCTACTGAACTGAGTAGTATTCTTTAGTACCAACTGCTTCACGATATTCTGTTTGGCTGGCATTCCCTTGTAGTTTTCCCCTTACTCATGTTAAAAATAAAAATGCGACTTCGATGTGCTTGACACTGAGTGTTCTCCTGGGATGCCTAATTTAACAAGTTCAAGTGTGACTTAAGAGATGATAGCTGGGCAATGGATGACACGAATAAAGAAAGTGTTTCCACACATAGCATGAATTTGTTTTCCTACATTCTTTTTACTAAGTTGCTCAAATATGCATCCTAATTTTTGAGTTTGTCTGATATGTATGATTGAAATCTAAACAAATCAAATGGAATGTCTTTCATGCTTTTTTTCCAGAAGAATACTGTTTACACACAGAATTCTCGATAACAAATGGGATGGGATGTCTTTTACACTTTCTCAGTATAATAATGTTATACTAACAAAATTCCCGAATTTTTTTAAAAGTTTAGGCTATTCCTTTCTTTACTTGTGCTATGCTTGACAGGAACCTCGGGCGCCCCGTGAAACAGCTCCTCTACATCCACACGCAGCAGCTACCAATAAAGTTCAATTAGCATCTAAGGACGTGGTTGGCGACAATGACGAACAAAAATCAAAATGGAGATGATATCCACTCGACACACAGCGCATCATAAACATACTAGTTTTGTAATGGGTATATTTTACTTGACTTACAAAGAAGCTTGCATTCTTCACTTATTCAATAGATCTTGTATCTTCATATACTTCTGCCCCCTTCCCCCTTATATTGTCCTCAGTTGATATGTGTTGTATAGACTTCCTTTGAATGAGTCTTTGTAAATATGTGCTTAGTTACATTATACATTCTCCTTTTAAGGATATTAAATCTGTTCTTTTTAGCACATTGTGATGTTAAGATACTTGGTTTGAGAATTAAAAAGACTTACAGAAACACTATGAAAAGCTCATAAGAGCATTGTGCCACTTCAAAGACTTATAGAAACACTATGAAAAGCTCATAAGACTTATAGAAACACTATCATCTTACCTATTTCTATTTCTGTTTTGTTCTAAATACTGTGATATTTAACTTATTTTGTAATCTATGGTTGTTTGTGTACAATATGATTTCAACTTACGTTGTTTAATATAANCTCTCTCTCGTACAAAAATGCATATTCTATAGTTTACGAGCCACACTCCACCAACTCTTTCTCACCTAGCCGGAGAAAAATGGAGGTTTCCGGCAAAACAACCGGTGAGAACCAAAGCTCCGGCAACTCTCAATCATCCTTCTCTTTCGCCGCCAAAACGCCAATTCTGGGACTAAAGCTCTACGTTGTGATTGGAGTAACGACTATAATCGTGATCGCAATTTTTGTTCTGATTTTTCTATATATTCGTTTGAGGAGAAGCTCGAAACGGCGTCTCATTGGCGTAAAGCACAGTTCAAGTTTGTTACCTTTGGTTTTCAAAGAGATCACAGAAATGAGAGAGTCGGACCAACGGGAAAATTCTGAAGTTGTTGGTTTTGGGAAGGACGAGAAAGAGAACAAAGCAATGCTGATTAAAGATGTAGAAAAGGGCATTGAGGATAAAAGAGGTAGTTCTGAGTCAAGTACAAGCCGGAGCGAGTCATCGTCGGTATCGATGGAAGGTCTGAATGTTGGGTGGGGCCGATGGTACAGCTTGACGGAGCTGGAAATGGCGACCAATGCATTTTCAGATGAGAATGTGATTGGTGAAGGAGGTTATGGTGTTGTGTACAAAGGAGTTTTGCAGGATGGGTCTGTGATTGCTGTGAAGAGTCTCTTGAACAACAAGTAAGTCTCATTTTTTTTTAATACAATTTACAATCCGTGTAGTTCAGTTTAACTTTGATCATCTTATTTTGTTGTTTGCTTAATTTAGTTTTTGATGGAGTGAGTATCGGAGCTGCTTAGATCTAGATTGCATTAACTCTGCTGGTTACTAACTTTTCTTTTTGACTGGGTATTAAATCAAAAGGAAGTAAACGGATTGCTTTGTTCTTTATTCCTTTTTGTTTGTTTTCTCCTTATTTCTTTAATTCTTTTCCTCCTCACAAGTTGTTTTCAAAATTTCATCTCCAATACTGTTCTGCCGTGGAATTTGTTCAACTTTTTTCCTTTAATTTTTTCCCTTTTTGTTTTTTCATCCTATTCTTTCCTTTCTTTTTCTTTTCTTTTGTTTTTTCTTTTTTTCCCTCCTTCATTTTTGTTGTATAGGCCTCAGGGCAAGTGTGACTTCCATTCCTCACTTTTCTATTTGTCTTTGAACACACAGCAAAGCAACACAAGCATAGCTTAGAGGGCTAAACTCACTTGCCAATATGCCAACTTTTGATGTACAAAACTGTTAATTTCTGTGGAACTGAAAATAGATTCTAGGATTGGGATCGGGAATAGAATTCTTACTTCAATTAAGACCTTACACAAATTGGGTGAGATAGAATGATTGCCCTTCCTTCTTGCACTACTTTTAATTTATAAAAGCTTTCGTTGTTGCTGCTCAAAAAAAAAAAAAGAATTGCTCTGCATTTTGGCTACTTGCCTTCCATTTATAGTGAGATTGCAAGTTTCCTAATCTCTAACTATGTTAAGAATGCTTACCAAAAAAAGAACTATGTGAAGTACTGAAAGTGAAAACTAAAAGGTGTATTACTCTGCAAACTGTTGAATTATTGGATTCCCATGTATTGCTCCCATGGAATTAAGGAATAAGGTTGCCAGTTGGTGCAAATTCACAAAAGTTCCTGGTATCAGTTGATGAAGCTACTGGTTGTCGAAATTCAGTGCCTTCAAGGGTCAGTACTGTAGTTTCACATTCTTACTACGGAAAAGGTCAATTTCATATTCTGGAAATAGTCTCTAAGTTTGATAAATGTTTGAGATATCCTTAATGTTTCTTTACACCAGGAATAGTAGTGGTTTTAAATGCATAAATGATATGCATTACCTAAACTTTCTTGACAAGGATCAATAGAATCTTGTGAACTAATGGAATTAATGTTTTACTGAACAACTTTCTTCTACCTCACAAAATTTTGATTTATTCTATGCACTGTGATCGTCCTGTTTGTAGAGGTCAAGCAGAGAAGGAGTTCAAGGTAGAAGTTGAAGCCATTGGAAAAGTAAGGCATAAGAACCTGGTGGGTTTGATTGGTTATTGTGCAGAAGGTGCTCGAAGGTACTTTCCCTTTAGCATATTGACTTCATTATCAAAGGGTCCGTTTTACTTTCTCTGTATAACTGTCACTACTTCTACAACCAATTCAGGTTGCTTGTGTATGAGTACATGGATAATGGTAATTTGGAGCAATGGTTACATGGAGATGTTGGCCCTGTTAGCCCTTTAACCTGGGAAATTCGAATGAGGATCGCCGTTGGAACAGCGAAAGGGTGAGACATCATTTTCTCTTTATTAACATGTATTGTATAAGAAATATTTGATGAAACAACTCTGTCATTACAATTACAAACGTGGCTGTTTAAAATGCAAAACCATCATCTAGCTTCAATTCATCAAATCATATTTAGACTTTCGTAAAGGTACTATTTACTATTTCGTTTTGAATATAAGATCCTTCCATTTGTTTACGTCCCCATCTTTTTGTTTTTAAATGCTATGTAAGTCATGATGGAGCAATTGGTTGTCCACGTAGACAACCAAATGCACCCTTAGAACACTCTTTTCTAAGTTTGATGTTCATTTTTTCTGTAGTTCTTCTGTTCATGTTGCTTTTTGCGTTGCCTTCTGTTTTATAAACTGGTATATATCCTGATTGTGTCACAGACTGGCCTATTTGCATGAAGGATTAGAACCCAAAGTTGTGCACCGCGATGTCAAATCCAGCAACATTCTTCTGGATAGGAAATGGAGCCCAAAAGTATCAGATTTTGGACTTGCCAAGTTATTAGGGTCTGAGAAAAGCTATGTGACTACGCGAGTGATGGGGACATTTGGGTTTGTTCTTTCTCTAATTACTTAGTTTACCTTTGAACACATGGTTAAACTTAGAACAGGATGACAAATTTCTTCATATGTAACTGCAGGTACGTCTCACCCGACTATGCAAGTACGGGTATGCTTAATGAGGGAAGTGATGTATATAGTTTTGGAGTTCTTCTTATGGAAATAATTACAGGAAGGAGCCCAGTTGATTATTCCAGGGCACCTGGAGAGGTGAATACATGTTCTCTTTCTCAATCCCTATTGTAGATACATGCTCATTGATTGCACTAATCATAATTACTCTCTTTTTATTGGCCAAATCTCAGATGAACTTGGTTGATTGGTTTAAAGGAATGGTAGCAAGTCGTCGCGGGGAAGACTTGATAGACCCTCTGATTGCAGTACATCCTTCGCCAAGATCTTTGAAGCGCTCATTGCTGGTTTGCCTGCGCTGTATAGATTTGGATGCCAATAAACGTCCAAAAATGGGGCAAATCGTACATATGCTTGAGGCAGATGAATTTCCTTACCGTTCTGTAAGCCCTTTTCCATGCAATTCATTCACACAATCTACTGAACTGAGTAGTATTCTTTAGTACCAACTGCTTCACGATATTCTGTTTGGCTGGCATTCCCTTGTAGTTTTCCCCTTACTCATGTTAAAAATAAAAATGCGACTTCGATGTGCTTGACACTGAGTGTTCTCCTGGGATGCCTAATTTAACAAGTTCAAGTGTGACTTAAGAGATGATAGCTGGGCAATGGATGACACGAATAAAGAAAGTGTTTCCACACATAGCATGAATTTGTTTTCCTACATTCTTTTTACTAAGTTGCTCAAATATGCATCCTAATTTTTGAGTTTGTCTGATATGTATGATTGAAATCTAAACAAATCAAATGGAATGTCTTTCATGCTTTTTTTCCAGAAGAATACTGTTTACACACAGAATTCTCGATAACAAATGGGATGGGATGTCTTTTACACTTTCTCAGTATAATAATGTTATACTAACAAAATTCCCGAATTTTTTTAAAAGTTTAGGCTATTCCTTTCTTTACTTGTGCTATGCTTGACAGGAACCTCGGGCGCCCCGTGAAACAGCTCCTCTACATCCACACGCAGCAGCTACCAATAAAGTTCAATTAGCATCTAAGGACGTGGTTGGCGACAATGACGAACAAAAATCAAAATGGAGATGATATCCACTCGACACACAGCGCATCATAAACATACTAGTTTTGTAATGGGTATATTTTACTTGACTTACAAAGAAGCTTGCATTCTTCACTTATTCAATAGATCTTGTATCTTCATATACTTCTGCCCCCTTCCCCCTTATATTGTCCTCAGTTGATATGTGTTGTATAGACTTCCTTTGAATGAGTCTTTGTAAATATGTGCTTAGTTACATTATACATTCTCCTTTTAAGGATATTAAATCTCTTCTTTTTAGCACATTGTGATGTTAAGATACTTGGTTTGAGAATTAAAAAGACTTACAGAAACACTATGAAAAGCTCATAAGAGCATTGTGCCACTTCAAAGACTTATAGAAACACTATGAAAAGCTCATAAGACTTATAGAAACACTATCATCTTACCTATTTCTATTTCTGTTTTGTTCTAAATACTGTGATATTTAACTTATTTTGTAATCTATGGTTGTTTGTGTACAATATGATTTCAACTTACGTTGTTTAATATAAAAGCGTGTTTACAACTTACACTTTTAATAAAAAAATCATATAAACATGTGATGTTGTTTTCCAATGAAAAGTGTGACTTGAACCCATATTTTCCTAAATATCACTGTAGATTGGATTATAACTTACGACGGATATTTCGTTGGAGTTGACGTACCCATATTCGATACCGTATCAGATACGATACTCGTTGAATACTCGAAAATATATATCGGATACACATTCTACGTATCTGATANATACCGTATCAGATACGATACTCGTTGAATACTCGAAAATATATATCGGATACACCTTCTACGTATCTGATGATAATTAAATATTAGAATACTTCACAGATTTTTTTGTGGTCGAACAACATATATAATTTTTGAGTTAAATTTTTAACATCTCTTTTCGAATTTACATACCATATAATACATTAACAAAAAATTTATATTACTTCAAAGACACATGAGTGTTACTTAAGTATTATTTACAATTACATGTCAAAAGAGTATAAAATAAAATTATTACATTATTATTTTAGCAAAAATTACTTCTAAATAGTAGGTAAATATTAGTTTTGATTTCTTTAATTATTCTTTTCACTTTGTGAATATACTACAATGATACGATATATATTTTATTGAAAATAAAAAAATTATTAATTTTTCTTATTTTATATTACATAATTACCAAATATATAAGTATTAAACTGGTTAAAAATAATAAAAATATTTTATTATATATGTATCTTGGCCGTACCCGTATCTTATTTTTTTAGACTTTGTCGTATCATCGTATCCGTATCTTGTATTTATATCTGTGCTTCCTAGCTTACAACACGCTATGCACAACTCACTCCTGCTGAGTTAGGTTGGTTCTCCCTCTCCAGAGTTTAATCCTTTTATCTTGATTGATTGTAATTTAAATTGTCCTATTTAATGAAATGATTATCTATTGTTTATGGATTAAATAAAAAGATTATAATTTAAAAATCGTGGTATTTTAATAAAAAAGTAAAAAATTATTGTAGCACATGAATTTTTATATGTTATGTTGATGATGATGTCTTGNTAATAAAAAAGTAAAAAATTATTGTAGCACATGAATTTTTATATGTTATGTTGATGATGATGTCTTGGAGTAGCAAGACGGGGGTGACCTCCCCCAACTCCTTTGTNTTTTTTTTTTTTCTTGATATTCTACGAGGGGGTCCTAATTTCTTCTAGTACATTTTCTCTTAGTTTTTTTCAGTAGCACAGCACTTACGTGTATTAGTGACAGATCCCCTTATGAGTTGTGGGACTCGGTTCAATTTTTTATCCGTGATCTACCAATGAGAAAGAATATAGAAAAGTATAATGGAAGGGATGCGAATAGAAGGTGCAAAATTCCCTGACTTTAGGTCATTAGAGGTTCTTCCCTCCCACGTCAAGCCCACGATGGGCATTGGTAAGCTATAAAGCACAGATATTTCGTTGAGGTTGACGTATCCATATTCAATACCGTATCGGATACGATACTCGTCGAATACTCAATGATATGTATCGGATACACTTTTTATGTATTCGATAATAATTAAATATTAGAATATTTTATGGATATTTTTGTGAGAGTTAAATTTTTAACATCTCTTTTCAAATTCACATACCATATAATACATTAATAAAAAATTCATTTTACTTTAAAGGCACATGAGTGTTTCTTAAGTATTATCTACAATTACATGTCAAAAGAGTATAAAATAAAACTATTACATTATTATCTTAGCAAAAATTACNTTTCGAATTTACATACCATATAATACATTAACAAAAAATTTATATTACTTCAAAGGCACATGAGTGCTACTTAAGTATTATTTACAATTACATGTCAAAAGAGTATAAAATAAAATTATTACATTATTATCTTAGCAAAAATTACTTCTAAATAGTAGGTAAATATTAGTTTTGATTTCTTTAATTAGTCTTTTCACTTTGTGAATATACTACAACGATACGATATATATTTTATTGAAATTAAAAAAAATTATTAATTTTTCTTATTTTATATTACAAAATTACCAAATATATAAGTATTAAGCTGGTTAAAAATAATAAAAATATTTTATTATATCTGTATCTTGGCCGTACCCGTATCTTATTTTTTTAGACTTTGTCGAATCATCGTATCCGTATCTTGTGTTTATATCTGTGCTTCCTAGCTTACAACACGCTATGCACAACTCATTCCTGCTGAGTTAGGTTGGTTCTCCCTCTCCAGAGTTTAATCCTTTTATCTTGATTGATTGTAATTTAAATTGTCCTATTTAATGAAATGATTATCTATTGTTTATGGATTAAATAAAAAGATTATAATTTAAAAATCGTGGTATTTGAATAAAAAAGTAAAAAATTATTGTAGCACATGAATTTTTATATGTTATATTGATGATGATGTCTTGGAGTAGCAAGACGGGGGTGACCTCCCCCAACTCCTTTGTTGATTGCCAGGCACCATTAACGGCTAACAGCATGATAGGTCGAGCCCACAAAAGTACAGGCATGACATTTTACATGATGATTGTAGGGTTAAACCGAAACAGTAATTTTCTGGTGCGATATTTTTTTATATTTTACCAATTAAAATAAAAAAATTGTAAAATATATTTATTTTATCGTTTTACTTTACTTTGTTATTTGCATAATGAATGACTATAAATAAATCAAGACAAAATCTATGGCGACAAAATTATTTCGTATGTAAAAAAATATAAAAAGACATCAAAAAATTTATTTTTTATATAAAAATTACAAAAACACATCAATTGCATGAGGTTGGTGTGAAAAAATAAATTAACAAAAAAATTATTCATATTAATTGAATTTAACAAATATTCACATATAGTTATAACGTTACATTAAAAATTGATTGATGAGTGAAATTATTTTATATCACTACAAATTGAGTATATCCTAACAATTGTCAATCATTTGTAAGTCAAAACTTTAAAAACATTACAGATTAAATATCAAATAAACAATAAAATTATAAAATATAATATAATTATCATCTTCTAACATATATATAATATTGGGCTAATGGGCTTCTTAACGGGCTGGCCTGCTAAGCCCTTGACCCTACAAAATACGGTCCAAATCCTACCCGTTTTGCTAACAGGTTACCCAAGTCCTGCCACGTTTATGGGCCATGAGTGGCTTATTGAGTTTTGGGCTTTTTGGTAAGGCCAAAATATAAATGCAATCCACTATATTTGAGCGGGAGAAAAAAAAAAAAAGGAGATTTACTTTGACTTTAATAGTTCTAAATACGACATAATTTACGAATGATAGTGAACAAATGAATCTATCGAACTCCTTCAATATGTTGGTTTATCGTGGATTCAAACAAGACAAGAAAACTCCTAAATACAATGTATACATAATTTTAGCACAAATTCGACACGTTACGAATTTGGCTTTGGTGTAAATTAAATAAATTTTAGGATTAATTATATTAGAGGTCCTAAAAATAGAATTTGTTTTATTTTGCTCTCTAATGTTTTAATTTCATTATTTTAGTCCTGGAAAGTATTAAATATATTTTTATGTAATCCCTCAAGTAGATAACATCCAAATTGTTAACGATTTTTATCATAAACTTGTCACGTGATACTTAAATATAGATAAAAAATAATTTGGATAGCCTTTAATCAAAATTTGGATAACTCTTGACCAAAATTTGAATAAATTATGATCAAAATTATATAATTTGAGTAGCTATTTGATCAAAATTTGGGTAAAAATTTGATTAAGAGTTATTTAAATTATTTTTTGACCCATATTTAAGTATTATGTGATAAATTTATAGTAAAAAATTATTAACAATCTAAATGTTGTATGTTCAAGAGTTCACATATAAACATTTTTTTAAAAATATATTTAATCTTTTAGAGTAAATAAAATATTAGAGACTAAAATGAGATAAATCTTATATTTTGGGACTTCTTGTATAATTAACTCTGAATTTTAAGACGCACAAGATAACCGTGAACAGATTACGACCCGACCCATTGTGAGTCCTATATCCAATGGTGGTTGCTTAGGTTGCACACACTCCACATTTTTTTTTAGAAAGTAATCTGTTAGATTTACGAAAAATGCTATTTGGGCTTAAAAATATAACATAATTTGTTAATCTGACTTCATTGGAATTATTGAATTAAACACTAAATTCCAATGTGTGATAGAATTTACAATTAATCCAAAAATTAGTGAATTAGATAAATAAATTAGGCCAAAAAATTTGGCCCCAATAACGCTGCTCTAAATTCATTACAGGTGTTCCTAGTCCCGCCTAAAGTCACACACACACACACACACAAATACATCCATGCTCGTACAGATCTGTTCTATCAGATAGAAGTTTAGAGAGAGAAACTTTCAGACTGAGAGAGGAGGAGGAGGAGGAGGAGGTGGTGGAGGAGACTATGGAGGAGAAGTTGATGCAGAGGTTGGAGTCGGCGGTGACGCGGTTGGAGGTGCTGTCCACAGGCGGATTCCGGACGAGAGGTTCGCCGGAGATTGACGGAGATGCGGCGTCGAAGGATCCATCAATCATCGCGTTCGACGATTTGATGTCGCAATACGTAGGTAGGGTTTCGAGTGCTGCGGAGAAGATAGGGGGACAAGTTTTGGATGCCACTAAGATAATTGGAGAGGCGTTCTCTGTTCAGAAGGAGCTTCTTATTAAGGTCAAGCAAACTCAAGTCAGTTTTCTTCTATATATTTTATAATTTTGTACACGTACTATGTATATCAATAATACTTTAAAATCCCTGAAACTTTGTTTATACGAAGTTTTTGCTCTGATCACCTTGTCTCCTTGAATTATACAAGGCAATGAATGCATAATTACTTGTTAATTTCATTTATAAAGTTCGCCTCACTTCATTGTGTTATTGCTTAATCAGCTTCAGGTTGGCAGCATGGAATAGCCTTAATTCCGGGTTCCCAAATGCAGAACGCGTGAATTTGATTCACATCGATAGTATTGCAAGGCCTCTATAAGTTCGCGATGGCCATGCATGTGTATTTTCTATTTGAGATGATTGCAAAAATGCAGTAATATGGATCTTATAATTTAGGATAAGATTTGCTTCTCTGAAACTGTTGGTGAGTTGCCAGATTGAGTATGCCATTCAATTTNATATGGATCTTATAATTTAGGATAAGATTTGCTTCTCTGAAACTGTTGGTGAGTTGCCAGATTGAGTATGCCATTCAATTTGAGTCATATATATATACACCAGGGGTAATCCGTGCCCAAATACATGGTGCAATGTGAATGGTTTTCAGAGTGATATTAGTGGTCATTGGATGGGTCTATTTGAGACCGTTGGATGGGCTTATTGAACTTATTGAAGTCCGCTCTGTTTTATATTATAAAAATGAAGAGAGAGAGAGAGAGGGAGAGAGAGAGATGACATGATGTTGATTGCATGAAAGCCAAACTGATTTTGGCTATGCAAGTTCTCATTGCATGATGAGCCAATCCTCTTTGGGCATGATCTTGTGAATTGAATTGCTGTCCATTCTTCATTTTTCTTGTAAGTTGTACCTATGTCCATGTTGGTACTTTGATGCTGAAAGGGAGGATTTTGATGATGCAGAAACCTGACATGACTGGTTTAGGAGAATTTATTAAACCATTGAATGATGTGATTATGAAAGCGAATGTGATGACAGAAGGAAGACGGTCTGATTTCTTCAACCACTTGAAGACCACCGCTGACAGTCTGACAGCGCTGGCATGGATCGCATACGCAGGCAAAGATTGCGGTGAGAGAAATTGTGGATTGGTTTTTAATGCTTTAAATATACATGATTCTATATTATGACCTTGGTTCCTTATTCTTCTTTCCTCTTTTCTAGGGATGAGCATGCCTATTGGGCATGTGGAAGAAAGTTGGCAAATGGCTGAATTTTACAGCAACAAGGTACTTTCATTATTGCCGGAAGCCATTCAGTCTTATGATACTACCTAGTTAAGATATCAGTTTACATAGAATTGAATAAGAGAACATAGAAAATTGAAATGCATGTAGAATATAGTTATCAAATCCTTTATTGTATCTCACTACTTCATGCTCCATTTTTTTTCATACTCCCTCCCATAGAACTATATCTGAAGAAAACATAGATATTTGTTCATGTGAGCAGGGCATTAAATCTTTTCAAATTGAAGTATACTGAGCTATGTACATGACCTCCGATAAAGAAAGCTGGTATGCATAGAATATTTGTTGGGAGATGGGTCTAAACAATATAAAGGGGATTTGTTTCCTAATATCCTTATCTATAAAAGGAACATTTCTCCATCACTCTATACAAGTGCAGAGTTCTGTATATCAAAAGAAGGAGCAAAAATTGTGTGGCACTATTTTTTCGGATCTGATAACTAGAAAGATTCCATTTTTTAATTGTCTGGTAATTTTACTTTTAACTTTTTGCATGTTTTCCAAATCATGACTTGTAAGTGTGCGAAGTAGTTGTAGGTGATATATGTATATATATAGTGCTACCTTCTACAAAGAGAAGTATACCATGATACATATATGCTTCCAGCGGGCAATGGAATCGTCCTGTAAAGTGATTTTAGATGGTCAGTTCTGATTAGGTTTCGATGATGTTTAGGTTCTTGTAGAGTACAGAAATAAAGACCCAAATCATGTGGAGTGGGCTAAAGCTTTGAAGGAGCTTTATGTACCAGGTTTAAGGGATTATGTGAAAACTCACTATCCTTTGGGTCCTGTATGGAGTGCCACAGGAAAAACAACTGTATCTGCTCCCTTAAAAACTCCTACCTCAATTGCTCCTGCTCCTCCACCTCCTCCGCCAGCTTCACTCTTCAGTTCTGAATCTCCTCAGCCGTCAGCTTCACACCCAAAGGAAGGAATGGCTGCTGTTTTTCAAGAAATTGGTTCAGGAAAGTCGGTGACAGCTGGTAGTTTTCTTTCTTCCTTTTCCTCATTCTTTTTCGTCTTGTGGGTTGGGGTGTTTTTTTTATTTGGTTTTCTTCCTCCTGGGTTATTGGGCATTGCTTATTTGGTTTCTTCCTCTCAGGTTTGAGGAAAGTCACAGCTGATATGAAAACAAAGAACCTTTCTGATAGAACTAGCGTTGTTACTGCTAGTGAAAAAGGTCATGTTAGTTCCTCCTCATTCTCTAAAGCAGGTCCTGCAAAGTTAGAGCTTCAAATGGGTCGGAAGTGAGTTCACATTCTTGGTTATGGTGCTTCTTGGCCTATGGAAAAGGTTCATGTGGTTTTAAATTGTCCATTATGACTGTGCTGTACCTTGGGCAGGTGGGTAGTTGAGAATCAAATTGGAAGAAAGAATTTAGTCATTGATGACTGTGATGCAAAGCAAACAGTTTATATTTTTGGATGCAAAGATTCTGTTCTACAGATCCAAGGTAAGATTTTGTTATCTTAAGAGAATGTTCTTGCTCCCCAGATCTAAAAGTTAGGCTTCCAACAAATCATGAATGATTAGGTTCTTTTTGAGTAGAATTTCCATTAAGTCATGAAGATTTTATTGTTACCTTATCAATTTGCAGGAAAAGTTAACAACATAACTGTTGACAAATGCACGAAGATGGGTGTTGTATTCACGGTTAGTGAGGAAAATTTTCAATACTATAGCAGAATTTTGAACTTTAGAACTATATGTATAGCAAAAGTTTTGGGCTCTAATTGATTATGTTGTGAAAAACAGGATGTTGTGGCTGCTTGCGAGATTGTTAATTGCAATGGCATTGAGGTGCAATGCCAGGTAGCGTCCTTATTGGTGTTGGTTTTTTTTTTTTTTGGGGGGGGGGGGGG